GAATTTTTACAAATATCTTATAATCCACATTTAAAAGAGATATAGGCCTATAATTCTTTGGTAAAGTAAGATCTTGATCCTCCTTTGGAATCAATGATATAAAAGCACTACGCCATGAAGGAGGAATCTCTAGACCCTGTAAAATATCATTAAAAAGATCACCTAATGGTTGAATCATCTCCTCCATTAAAGCTTTATAATAAACAACTGTTAACCCATCCGTGCCCGGTGCTTTCCCTGGTTTCAATTGTTGAATTGCTAACGCAATCTCCTCCTTAGTAATTAAGCCATTAATTTCCTGTTTCTGATCCTCTGTCAATTTAGGGAAACTAGCCTCACTTAAATATTTATTTATATCTAAAATTTGCACATTGGTAGATTTATATAATTTTTGGTAGTAGTCCAAAAAAGATTTCTTAATCATTATTATTATTCCACTTTATTATACTTTATTCTTTATTATTCCACTTTATTGCAGTGTGTGAAGGTTAAAAAAAGGTTTTCTTTTAATCATCTCTCTCACAAAACACTAGTCCCAATTGCTAGTGCATCATAATTACCATCTATTGACAATGCTCAGCACTGAGGCATTTTGTTTCATTCAGCCTTTAAGATGGGATGAGGTGGTGCATTCATCCTTATCGCCTTGGTCATTCTGCTGGTTTGGAAACAGACAGAAGCACTATATTGGACTGGTTCTGTACAGTTCAAATATGGGGTACCATTTTATAGTGGTTCTCTTCTCTGGAACTGGCTTCAGTGGGTGTTGGTTGGGGGAGAGGAGATAACTCCCAAGGCCCACCGTTTGTGCTGCAGGATATACTGTCTCCTCTTATTCAAACTTCTATATGAAAGCAGTGGGTGAGGTCATTTGTCACTCTGAGGTCCTGTACCATCAATTTTCTGATTTTACCCAATTTTATCTTTTGACCCCAAACTACCAGTTGTGCCTATCCTAGACTGGGAAGCCCTTCAGTAGTCACTCATGCTCTAATAATCTCAGCTCCATTATTGCCACAGAATCTGCAAGGGACTATTCTTGAAGACCACCAAGAAACGTCCATTGCCCAGGGAAAAAAAAGTTTCCATAAATATTTTTTTTGCAATTTTTTTTGATGTAATAGAGTAACAACATTCATAATATCACGTTAGATCCAAGATGTAAAGGCTACCTATTAATATGCCTTTTTCTTTAACGGAAGCCGATAGTGTTCAGGAACATTTGGTTGCGTAAATTCTCTATTTATAGTCACCGGCAAACCTTTTTTTGCTGCAGCAATTGTAAAGCTGAATACTTTGATTCCACCTGCCTAATAACACCATTATACAATCGGTTTCCCAAACCATCCCTTCCTTATCTCCATGAATTGCGTGTGCAACTTCTTTTTTTTTCTTCACTTTGTTAACTGGCATCAGGTGAGAATTACAACCCCCCCCCCCCGAAGTACCGCACGAGCTGAACTTTCAGCGATTTCAGTAAGGAAACGACCCCTTTCTGCATGGGTTTCCAATTCCTACCAATCTCCGATCAGCATTTAAATTTGCCATGTCCTTTTTTGCCGCAGATGTCTGAATTTCGGATTAAAACGTCGCAAATAAACTACGCACTAGATTCAAAGAATCAATACGTTTCATTTGTTCCAATGGAGAGTGCGAAAGCCCTTAAGAAACCAAAGTGAATTTTAAAGGGTGCGTTCCGATGTTAATAACTAAACTCTTGTCTCTTTCTTTTTTTTTTTTTTTTTTTATTGAAATTTTTCAAAAGTTTTACAAATAAAAATCCACCCCCCCCTCCCCAACCACCCCACTCCCCCCCCGACTTCCCAGAACTGAATATAGGATTATTTAACAAATATTTTAAAAATAACATTTGCAATTTATAAAATAATTAATAATAATAATAAAAATCACAGTAATAATATATATAGAAATAATATACATAACATAAACTTTAAAATGAATAATATATACTAAAAAAGAAAAAAAAATAAAAAATAAAAAGAGAAGAGAGAGAGAGAAAGAAGAAAGAAGAAAGTAGACGAAAAATAAAGCATATATATATATAAAAAAAAAAATATATGAATAATAATACATTAAAAATGTATATATATAAAAAAGAAAAAGAAGAAAGAAAGAAAAAAAAACAATCATTACAAATTATAAAAAGGCTAAATAATATTTTTCCATATCCAAATTATGTTGTATAAAATTTATCCATTTTTCCCATACCGCAAAAAATTTTTCTTGAGATTGCTCCTTTAAGAAAGCCGAAATCTTTGCCATTTCTGCCAAATACGAAACTTTATGAAACCATTCTTGTAAAGTAGGCAAAGATTCCTTCTTCCAATATTGTCCTATTAACAACCTAGCGGCTGTAATCAAATTTAACATCAATATAACCTCCTTAGCATCACAGTCAATAACAATACCTAGTAAAAATAATTGCGGAGTAAATTTTACCCTCCTTTTAAAAATTCTTTGAATATTCCACCATATCTTAATCCAAAAAGCTTTTATATGCTTACACGTCCACCAAATATGGTAATAGGTAGCATCCAAATATCCACATCTCCAGCATTTCGGCTGTAGATTAGGGTACATAATGGACATTTTCTTTGGGTCAAGGTGCCATCTATAAAACATCTTATAAAAATTCTCTCTTAAATTTTGCGCTTGTGTGAATTTAACATTTCTTATCCAAATAAGTTCCCAAGTATCCATTGAAATCGTTTCACCAATATTCTGTGCCCATTTAATCATACAATCTTTAACTAGTTCAAGTTCTGAATCTAATTCCACTAAAACCCCATAAACTCTCTTAATATGGGTTGGCCTTTGATCTCTTACTTGTTTTAAAAAAATTCCATCTTCTCTAAGCCAGCCCATTTTACAATCCATCTTCCATCTATCCACTATTTGTCTATATTGGAACCATGAATAAGTTAAGTTTTCATGTGTTAATTCTTCCAAAGATTTTAACTGCCAGTCTTGGCCATCCCAACTTAATAACTGTACGTAAGAGACCTTGTCCATATTTACCCCTTTCCTTATACCTTCTATGGCATGCCGAGGTATAGCCCATAATGGTATTTTGAAGTCACTTTTATAATACTTTCTCCACACTCTTAGCAAAGAGTTTCTTATAATATGAGACTTAAAAACCCAATCCACTTTTTTATTAAATATTAAATAGGCATGCCATCCAAAAAATAGGTCCCAGCCTTCCAAATGAAGTATTTCTGTATTTGTTAAATTCACCCAATCGCTAATCAATGTCAATACTACAGCATCATAATACAATTTCATATTTGGTACCTTGAGTCCACCTCTCTCACGAAAATCTTGCATTATTTTAAGTTTCACCCTTGGTTTTTTCCCTGCCCAAACAAATTTATTAATACCTTTTTGCCATTCATCTAAATTACGTTCGTTCTTTAAGATAGGTAACATTTGGAACAAAAAAATAAACTTTGGCAGGACATTCATTTTAATAACTGCAATTCTGCCCATAAGGGATAACTGTAAATTATTCCAGTTTTTTAAATCCTTCTGTACCTCCATCCACAGCTTTTCATAATTATTTTTATACAATTTTACATTAGAAGCAGATAATGTAACCCCCAAATATTTTACCTTATCAACAATTTCAAAGTCTGTTAAGTTAACTAGAGCCTGTTTATCACCATTAGTCATGTTTTTAGCTAATATTTTGGTCTTATTATTATTAATTTTAAAGCCAGAAACACGTCCATATTGTTGAATCAATTGTAATAATTTCACCACCGAAGAAACAGGTTGAGACAAAGTAACAACCAAGTCATCTGCAAAGGCTCTTAATTTATATTCTTTTTTATTAATTTCTATTCCTTTTATTTCTTGAGACTCCCGAATTTTAATCAACAAAATTTCCAGTGTTAAAACAAACAATAACGGAGACAACGGGCATCCCTGTCTTGTTCCTTTTTCTATTACAAAAGCCTCTGACAAACCCCCATTTACAATAATTTGAGCAGTCTGTTTTTGATATATATTGGATAATACTTGTAATATATTTTGTCCAAAATTCATCTCCTTGATTAAACACAGCATAAACTGCCAATTCACTTGATCAAAGGCTTTTTCAGCATCCAAAAATATCAAGCCTGCAGAGACTTGGTTATTCTTTTCTAAATACTCTAATAAATTAATAATTTGTCTAACGTTATTCTTCATATACCTTCCAGTTATAAAACCCGATTGATCCCTATGTATAAACTGCTGCAAGATCCCCATAAGCCTGTTAGCTAAAATTTTTGCAAAAATTTTATAATCCACATTTAAAAGAGATATAGGCCTATAATTTTTAGGCAAAGTAAGATCTTGACTATCTTTTGGAATCAATGATATAAATGCATTACGCCAGGATGGAGGGATCTCTAACCCCTGTAATAAATTATTAAACAGTTCACACAACGGTTGGATCATCTCTTCTACTAAAGCTTTATAAACTCTTGTCTCTTTCGTTCCTCCTCTCCCCTTGCTTTGGGTGGTCCTAGGCCACGGTCTAGTGCGCACGCGTCAGTTCCTCCCGGCGGAAATCAAAGAGATAAGGAACATGGACAGCCATTACTCCCTGATTTCAGTAGACACCAGAATATGCATGGCAAATGAAAATGGGGAAATCTGTCCTTTCTGAAAAAATAAAAATGGATAGATTAAAAACTTTCTCTTTGACAATTTTTGAAGCAATGTTTACTACTGTGACGAACTACTCTGCAGTTCAAACTAAATTGAATGTCTGATATTAGTAATTTGAATGTCAATGAAAAATTCAGGAAGCGAAGTATACTATCATTATGATGCATTTAAACTCATGCTAATTATGTTAGGGGAAGGAGAAAGTTTTGAATCCTGTAAGATGGGCAATCCACATTTCTAATACATTCTTATGCATTTGCGGCCCCCAACATGGAGGTAATTGCCAACTGCAGTCGCGGAGCCAGAATTCTATTCAGGGAACGGTTAAGACTATATCCCCTGGGCGGGGACAGGAGCTCGGCGCGTGGGTAGGAAGCGGCCACGGCGGGTGTTGGAGAAGGAAAATGGCGGCGGCCACTGCCGCGCAGCTCACCGATGAGGAGCTTTTCTCTGAACTGAAGCGATTCGGTTTCTCGCCTGGACCGGTGACGGAAAGCACCAGGCCAGTCTACATTAAAAAGCTAAAAAAGCTGCGAGAGGAAGAGCGGACGTCCGGGGCCCACAGCGTTGTAGCCAACAAGACCCGGAACAGTAATAACAATACACCGGGTGCAGGCAGCGACAACGGCTTGGGAGCTCGGTTGGGCAGCCCCGAACTCTTGTCTTTGTCCGGAGTATTTGGCGGGGGTGGCGTCCGGGCCCGCGCAACTCCCTTCGGTGGAAGCGGTGGCAAAGTCCTGCTGGGCTTCAGTTCTGACGAATCGGATGTGGAGGCCAGTCCCAGGGGCCAGGCTGGCGCCGCTGCCAGCCGGAGGGAACGGGGTTCAACCTCACGTCGGGACCCGAGGCCTGCAGGCGCGTCTGGCGCCGCCTGCCTCAATCGTAGTGCCTTGTCAGAATCGCCGGCCCGCAGGAAGCCCAATGCCTGGTGGGGAGCGACGACTAGACGGGCTACGGTCACGGCAGAGGCTTGGAAGCAGACGGAGAGCGGGAGAGCGATCGGCGACGAGGAAGACGCCCAGAAAGAGAAAGAGGAGACCGAGCCCAAGCGGGAGCGATGCAAGACCCGAGCAGTGAACGGGAACAGGTTGCTCGCCTCCGGCAGCTCAAATATGAAGGGAAAGTATTCGGACTCGGAGGAAGAAGATGAGGTCGCTACCCAGCTGGGGCTAACAGAGGAATCCTTTACTCGCCACTATGTCTGCAGGAAGAATCTTTGTAAATCGGTCAGCCCCTTCTCCGCTCGCAAAGGTATTGCAGCAGGCGACGGCTTGCTGGAGGCGGGTCAAGGGCAAAGCTCTGCGGTTGGCAGTAGCTTTGCGGGGAATGTCAGGGTTGCCGGCTGTAGTAAAAACGCCGAAAGAGCGGACAGGCGAGAGGATGAGGAGGAGAAAGAAACACTAACAGCCGGAGAAGATGGCGATTATGTGGACTCGAATCCAATTGCTCCCCGTTACCGCGGCAGTTCTTCCAAGAAAACCAATCAGCTGTTATTGCCGCCACTGTTACCTGACATAGACCATAGCAAAATAACTGACTCCTTAAGCAGTAGTAGGAAACCAGCCAACAATCATATTCTCTCTGATGCAATTGGTGGCTATAATATTGAACCAAGCATTTACAGTGCTACCAGCACTCTGGCTTTAGGTGCTACCACCTTAACATCCACTGGAATTAATCACTCCAATCACACAGGTTCCAATCATACATATTTGAAAAATTCTTACAACCCAAAGCTTTTGGAACCTGAAGAGGATCTGTTACAGCAGTTTAAGAGAGAAGAAATATCCACCACAGGAAGTTTTAGTGCTCATTATTTGTCGATGTTCCTCTTGACCGCTGCATGTTTGTTCTTTCTGGTGTTGGGATTCACTTACCTGAGAATGAGAGGTTCTGGAGTAGCTGAGAATATGAGAATTGAGAGTAAGTATTAGGATGAAGAGCAATGTGACATTTGAATAAATAAGTGCTAAATTTTAATTGAGAAGCCTTATTGTACTCAAGTTATATATTATACTGATGTTGACTTTTAAAGTATATATATATTTAATGTTGATAAAGGGCTGCTTGTAAGTTAATTTTATTTGGTTACATCTTTGGATTGTGTTTGACACTCAAAATATGATATTGGTTAATGTCATTTAGAAAACTGTTTTAGTCATAAGATTTTCAAATGAAATATTTTAATTTATAAATGTATGAAAGAATTATATAGTATACATGTTTACATTGCAGCTGTATAATCAAAATACACAACTCCCTGTACTCCTTATGTAGTAGTTTGTAATGCATTATCAGGCACGTCAAACTCCAGACATCACACATGCGTGCGGTTTCATAGGGGGGGAGCAGAGGGGCTGGCAGAGGGGCTGGCAGCGGCCATGCGGCACCAGCCCCCACCGTGGCGCCATCGGATGGGTGGAGGGCAAGGCCGGGCAGTACGGAGTCCCGGCTGGGACGGCGGCAGCGGTTTTCTCGCCCTTCTCCTCTCTCTCCTGCTGCCCCCCAAGCGGCTCATGCGGGCGCTGGGGCAAGAGGGGTGCCTGGGGGGAGCAGAGGGGCTGGCAGGGGCCACGTGGTACCAGCCCCCACCACGGCTCCATCGGATGGGTGGAGGATGAGGCTGGGCAGTGCAGAGTCCCGGCTGGGATGGCGGCAGCGGTTTTCTCGCCCTTCTCTCCTTCCTCCTGCTGCCCCCCAGGCGGCTCGCGCGGGCGCCGGGGCAAGAGGGGTGCCTGGGGGGGAGCAGCCAGGCTGGCGGAGGAGCTGGCGGGCTGCACGGCACTAGCCCCCACCACGGCTCCATCAATGTACAGAGGACGAGGCCGGGCAGCGTGAGGGTGCTGCCCGGGCCGGGGGCGACGGGACCCCCGACAATGTAGCAGTGGCTGCCTCCCATCCTGCTCCCCCTCCCTGCTGGTTCAGCTGAGGACGCGGCGGAGGCCGGGCTGGGCGTGGCTGGGACCCCCGACGATGCTTCTGTAAGGGAGAGAGAGAAAGAGAGGAAATAGAGAGAAACAGGAAAAGAGAGAGGAAAGAAAGAGAAAGAGAGGAGAAATAGAAAGGGAGGAAACAGAAAGCGTGAGAGAGAAAGAGAGAAAAGAGAAAAAGAGGAAAGAGAGAGGAAAGAGAAACAGGGAGAGGAAAGAAAAAGAGGAAAGAGAGAGAAGAGGAAAGAGAAGAGAGGAAAAAAGAAGAGAGGAAAGAGAAAGGAGAAAGAGAAAGGGAGGAAACAGAAAGGAAAGAGAAAAAGGAAAGAGAGAGGAAAGAGAAATGGGGAGAGGAAAGAAAAAGGAAAGAGTGAAAGGAAAAAGGGAGAGAGAAGAGAGGAAAGAAAAAAAGAGAGGAAAGAAAGAAAGGAAAGAGAAGGAGAGAGGAAAGAGAAACAGGAAAAGAGAGGAAAGAGAAAGGGAGGAAAGAAAGAGGAAAGAAAAAAGAAAGAGGAAAGAAAGAGGAAAGAGAGAAAGAAAAAGAGAGGAAAGAAAGAGAAAGAGGGAGAGGAATGGCGCTTCTCCAACCAGGCTGGGCGGAGCGACCTTCCTGCCCCCTTTCCTGGCCAGCTGGATGGGGGATTGGGGGTCACCACAACATGAGGAACTGTAGTAAAGGGTCGCGGCATTAGGAAGGTTGAGAACCACTGCTTTAAGGGGTTTTAACAATTGAAGTTCTTGAGCAAAATGAACTAGTTAACTTAAAACAGTACTAATATGTTTTTGATAAAGTACAGTTGACTTCAGTATATCTGCGCAAAAAAGGAACTTTATGCAGCCTTTTCCTTTTTCCCAACTCAAGACAAAGTAGCATTTTCAAGTAAATTCTTACAATTGAATATTAATGGTATAATTCTTGGTTTTGAAAATATTAGTTTACCTTTGTTGCTTTATTATTTCAAATTTTTAAATGTTGCTTCCTGATAAGGGAAACATGTTGCTTCATTTTTTAAAATTTATGATTAGCATAGTAGAAAGATGACTTAAAAGTTTAAACCACAGTTTTTAATTTGCTGTTTGAGTCTTCAGGTGCATAATTATTTACAGAGATGAAATTATATTTGGATTTTGCATTGCTATATGCACTCATTTTAAATTATTACATATATCTTCTCTTAATCTAGAATTGTCTGTCCAAAGTATTTGGCTTAATAAATGAGATTTTAGAACTGTAATTGAATCTGTCTTCTAGTTCCATTTGAGAACATGAAAAAAATGTCTAATGCAGTAATGGATATTTATTACTTTCCTCCATGAGATCTCCTCTGTTGCACTTCTTTTCTTCGGTCTGCATTTGAATTTGTTTCTGTTTCAAAATGAGATATCCCCATATCACCACCTCCTTTCTCCCCTTTCCTTTCTCTTATCTCTTTTCTTATATTATCTTCATCTCTGGTGAATTGTTCTTTATCCACTGGCGGTTTCCCAGACTATTTTAATCTCATTCTTTTTCATGATTTCTTGAGAGAAATGTTCCTGGATCCCTCTATAACTTAATTGTGCTCTTCCCCCATTTTATCCAGAGCTCTTAAGGTAGTTGCCCTTCACAATTGATTTCTTATTTATCTTCCAGTGGCCTTCTTCTGTCATGTTAGTCATGGGTTGGAGCAAGTTATTTAACTGAAAGTGGTTTTTCAAGTTCTTAATGAAGTTCTGATGGCTGAGAGCAAACACCTTACAATGGCCCTAATCCTTTTGGATTTCATTCACTTAAGCATCAGATATTGATGCCTAGTTCCTTGGAAACAATTGGCTAAGCACTTGATTAGTTTGCCTTTGTCTTGCCATTTTTATTTTTTGCAGTACTGGATGGAGGATTAAATTGGACATTCCAAATATCAATCTTGGTTGCTATTTCAATTATTTTTTATACCCTTGTTTTGATTGTCCTGATTCATGATAAGGATTTTCAGTCACTGTTACAATGAGACTGTAATGCTGTTCCATTATGGTCAACCATGATGGACTATTTCAGCTTGGTGCTCTTTCTTATTGCCTCCAGTTAAATATGGAAAATATAGAGATTGTTGTCTTTCAACTCTTTCTCATCCTTTGCTGTGTCCTCAGTTTCTCCAAAACTCCTGGATTGCCCAGTTTCTTTTAACTGAGGTCTTAATAATCAGCTGACATTGAAAGAATAACCATTCAACTGAACAAAACCATTCAACTGAACATACATATTCTTAACCCTCTCAAGTTGTCCATTCCTGCATCCCCAAGGCCTAGAGGAAAAATCATGCTTTTTTAAAAAATAGACATTTGCAGTTAGGTAATGTGAGCAGTATGCTAATCTCCAGAGAGATGTTATTTTAAGGAGTAGGTTCAGCATCAGGGTAGGCCTTTTCCTGGATTCCAATAGATAACATTTCGTCAGTGATGGGACCCAAAACAGGCCAATCTTATTTGAATATATAGGATGGATAGTGCTGTGAGCCATAGTAAGTCATTCAGTAACTTAGCCCTATGCCGTGTAAAGCTTTCTACATTATAACCAGCATTCTGAAGTCAAATGGTAACCACTGTAATGCATATAGCAGTGGTATTGACATATAAATAGTCTTCATTTATTGACGACATTTGGGAGCAGCAATTCAATCACTAAGTGACAGGGTTGTAAAGTGAAAAGTCACTTGACCATGGCTGACATACATCAATTCCATCAGCAATTGCTAAGCAAATCACCGTGGTCATTAAGTGTGATGTCTTGTGACTACAACTTGTGACTTCCCCCTGGCTTTCTCATTGACTTTGTCAGAAATCAGCTGTGAAAGTTGCAAAAGGTGAACACATGACCATGGGATGCTGTAACAGCTGCAAGTTCAAGGACTGGTTGTAATATCCCTGTTACTACTGTTATAGTAAGCAAGGGCTACCTGCAGTGGGACTGCTAATGCTATAATATTTTTACTGTTTGTCTCTTTTGAGTGGTTTTCAAAGGCAGTCCCACTTACAGGATATTGCAGTAACCCACCAATGGTTGATCAAGACATGAGTGACCATGAGGAAGCCCTTAGTGCCAGAATGAGCATAATTGATAGAAAAGATGTACCTTTACAAGGCCTCCCTGGAGTCCAGGAAGTTGTCAAATAGAGTCCCAATTCAGCATCAGAGATGAAAGACTGCGAGCATTGGGAGAGCTAAATCAGTGTGGCAGGGATTTAATCTGAGCCTGTTCCTTCCCATTCAGACACTGGGACAAGACTTTAATTGCACTTCTCCCTATAATCCTGCTTTATTTTATATTTTATTGGGCAAAGTTTTCCCCTTTCCAAGATCACAGACTCCAGGATTTCAGGAACTTGCCCCATTAATACTAAGTTGACTTCTTTCCTTTGATACAATAAGTATCTGGTGGCCTTTATAAATGCTTTAAATATTTTTTATTTGGCTAGTAATGTGAGGCTTGGTTATTTCATTGTTTTATCACGACAATTGGTAATTTTCACATAAATGTTTATTTTGTGTGATGGAGTATTATAGGACATTTTTAAAATATGTGTGGTGGTGTTTCATTTGTTTTTGTTGAAAGTGTTGGTTTTATTGATTAGCTGATATAAATAATTTAATTGGGAAACATACTTATTGTGTTCTCTTTTTGATTTGTACTGAGTCTTGGTAAAAGTGCATAATAAATTATTACTAAATAAGATGTTTAACTGTAGGCTAGACTGAGAAAACAAAAATATTTTGGAAGAAGGCAATAACAGTGCTGTTGCCAAGAAAATAGAACGGGTGTGTTTATGAAATCACTAGCAGTCAAGTATGTTTTTAAGGTGATTTTAAATGTATGTTAATAGTTTAACATTTTTAGTTCAAATTGTAGAAATTATGATTTTGCCAAATAGACAACTTGCATACAAAACTCAACAGAAGAAGCCTAACTTGTTATAATATCTGATAATTGCATTTTATGTTCACTTTCTAAATTTGTCTACATTAGAATAATCAAATATGACTGTTACTAATTTATTAATTTAGACATCAAGAGTGAGAATTTGTATTGTCCTTGAGAATTATATCTGTGCAACTCTATATATGGTTATATTTTGCATGTTTTTAAAAATTTTGACTTGTATGAGAACTTTTATTTACTAGCAATACATATTTTGTTATTGAAATAAGGACTACATAATGGAGATTACCAAGATATGCTACAGAGATGCAGGATATCATTGAGACATCGACCTGTTCTGAATTCTATCATTCTGCTGCAAAATGTGATGATACATTTAGGAGCTAGTTGAATACTTCTGTAATATAATTACAATAATTGACTGGCATATTTAGTATATCAATTGTTTTTCATTTATAGATAATAATCCAACCATTGGGGAACCAAAAGTAAGTATGAATTAATAACTTTGGTAAGCTTTATTACAACTCTTATTTAAATTACATGGATTATTGACTTTAAAATTAAGTAAATTTACCCTACAAATTTTGCTGGTTGTATGATATATCACTTATAAGGAATTTATATTTTTTGAAATTATTAGTGATTGTGAAGAAGCCTACAGAAGTTAATATGTCTCTGATAACAGAGAATGCACATCAGAACATCACTTAAGTCATTTTATCTGGAATTTATGAAAATTCTGTATTTCAGAAATTAAGGTACATCTCTTTAGCAGTCTGCTGCAATATAGAACACATGAAGATTATATATTTATTTAACTTTTATTCTGGGTGTCTCACAGCAAAGAAATTAAAATCAATAAAAGATAAAAATAAAAGATGGCAAGTGTTACGTAGCGAGAATTCTCACACATCATTAAAGGCCTGGGTGAATTGCTCACCCATCATATGCTATAAAAATCCTAGTTGAAAAATACCATTTTGGATATAAATAGTCATAAAATTATGAATGATTTCAGAACAAAACATGTTAATTCATTTTTTTAATTTTCAAGGTAGACAAACCAATTCTCATGAACTGTTTATATAGACTTCATGAAAAGTTGGCTCAAATGGCAGGTAAGTCTTTAAAATTAATATATAGTTTAATTAAAAGCATTCAAATGTAAAGTATTTTGATACTTTCAGGAACAAAATATGAGACTAAACAATATGAATTTCTTACCTTTAAAAAAATATTTTTATTAAAAATAATTGCAATAGTAACAATACAAGCTAAAGAAAAAATAGAAAGTAAAAAGTCAAAGCAGAAAAGAATAGAAAAAAGTATAAACAATTTTAATAACTTCACTTCCTCTTAATTGACAACTAATGATCTCTTCATCCTATCTCCCATCACATTTCAGACCTGGGGTCAGCAAAAGTCCATTAAGCGTTGCCAGAAATAACAATATTATCTGTTTTAATCTTGATCAAATAAACCAACTTAGTATTACTTTCTTTTACTTCTAACAATCTTAATTTTTAGTCCATTCAAGTAATGTCATAGAACTTGATTTCTTTTTTACCCCTTCTCATGAGATTAATTCAAGCTTTAACAAACCTTTCATAAATCCAATATAAAAAAATTATCCAGATTTATTATTTGTAATTCTCTTTTGATTTTTAAAGCATCAACCAATTTCTTTTGTATATCGAATTAAACATCTTTTTCCTTGTTATTCTTGTAGCTGATCACTTGTAGAACCACATTCAATGTCAACACTGTCTCAGTCTTGACAGATAAACTTGTTCCTTTTCTTCTAAAACAGTTTTGGACCTAATCTACCCAGAGAAGCAAACATCACACTATTTATTGATATTAACTTCTAATTCTATTTTTTCAAAAGTATCTTCTAATATTTCCATTGTTTCCATATTTTGTATCATTATGTAGTTTTTAATTATATTTATATATTTTTCTCCTTTAATTAAAATCTTTTTTTCTAGTGTTCATTTTTTAAAAAAGTGTTTATTTCTTTTATGCCTTAGAATAAATTCAAAAGCTGATTTTCCCATGGGAAGGATTCTTTATAATTAATTCCAAAATCTTAATTTCAAACTTATGTGGGCTCTTAATCCATATATAACTTTTTAACATTAGTCTTAATTGATTTTTTGCTGTTTATTTCACAATTTTTAAGTTCTTACTACCATATGTAGTTAACGTTTTCATATAAGATTGAAGGCAGGTTTGGTGGTTAGACTTGTCAGTCTAAAGTTTTCTAATAGCTGAAAAGTAATTATAAGCAATATCTGTATGTTATTAGAAAAGAAAGTATACGAACTCAGTGTCATTTTAAAGTCACTGACTGCAGTTTGAGTAAGATGGCTATTCTCTCCTCTCCCAGGGCTCAGAACCCACTGTCTTATTGTCTCCTCATGAGGAGCAACTGTCTGGAGTACTTGTGCTGATTTCCCATCCTCTCTTTGTCGGTCCTCTCTTTGTCTGCAGAGGTTCAAAGAGCCCATCAGTTTGCCAGCAATTCATTCTTTGCAGTGATCTCCAGCTCCATTTTTTGTTATACTATCTTCAAAAGTCAAATTTCTTACTAAATTTTTGATGTACCGGTAATACAAGACACATTTTTGTTAATTATATTGTGAAAATATAATTTAAATGAAAATTAAATTAGAGAATAAGGTGTACATGTTGGATGGAGATGACTATAGAAAGCTCAGTCCTTAGTAAAGCACTCTCTTTATTACAACCACTTATCAGTCCTTTTAGAGACTTAATACCACTGATTTTGAGGAAGAGCAACTTATCTTGTGAATGTAATATTATTTAGTTTATGAGATTTGTTTGAATACTAGTAGCTCAGGTTGATAGCTGGGCTATTAGTTTGATCTCTGGGCTTGGTAATTAGCTTGCAAATGTTTCATGTCCGTTCAAGGGGACATTTTCAGTGCGGTTTGAATTGTGTTCAAACAACATCTTCATAGACATCCGATTCATGATAGAAACCGAGAACAACAATGAACTGCCATTCCTGGACATCCTTGTAACCAGTACCACCAATTTCTAACATCTGTATACCGAAAGACAACACACACAGACTAAATCCTCAACTTCCACAGCAACCACTCCAAATGCTACAAACAAAGCTGTGTCAGAACACTTTTCAGAAGAGCAGAATCCCATTGCAACACCACAGAAGCCAGATCAGCAGAACAGAAACACTTATACAGAGTCTTTGAGAGAAACGGATATCCACCAAACTTCATCTGGCGATCCCTAGACACAAACAACACAAACGCCCCAAACAACACAACAACTACAACAGGAACGGCAACAACCAAACGAATCACAATTCCTTACATACAGAACATTTCAGAGATAACAACAAGACGACTATGCCAACATGACCTCATAGTAGCCTTCAAACCAGTTGCAAGATGGACGCTATCAAAACCTAAGGAGCCAACAGAAAGAAATCAAAGATCAGGCATCATATACCAAGTCCAGTGCAACTACTGTGAAAAGAACGATGTGGGCCAAACAGGAAAAAAGCTGTTTACCAGACTACATGTGCACTCCCTGGCTATCAAAAGATACGACCCATTGTCCCTCATGTCTGTTCACGAAGACTCGGAAGAACACAAGTTTGATCTAACCGGGACCACAATTATAACCCAAGCAAAGTCAAGGAGAAAAAGAGAATTCCTCGAGGCCTGGTTCTCCACCAACCAATCAGTGAACAGACACATTGACATTGACTCCGCCTACCAACCACTGATAGCGAGAGAGCTGCTTCAACTGAAATACCAGAAGCAACATTCCAAACAAACCGAACACAATTCAAACTGCACTGAAGATGTCCCCCTGAATGGAGACGAAACATTTGCAACCTATTTATGAAGCCCAGAGATTAAACCAACAGCCCCTATTTAGTTCATTTATTACTATTTAGTTTATTTATATATTATTTAGTTTATTATTTATTTTTCTTGTTAAAGAAAAATACTTTTTTCAGTTTTTTTTTGAAGTTGCTGGTTCTACAGACATGAATCCCATTTTTAAAAAAATTGTGTTACCTTGTTTTTTTTAATTAACTGAAAACATTTATATTATAGTAATTGACTAATCTGTAGATGAAAAATGATTATAGTTATCTGCTTTTGAGTGAGAGATTGTGGAAGATTGGTAAAAGAATGAAAGAGAGTATACATAAACAATTGAGATAGCAGATACAAGTCAGATTGCAGTTATCTCATAAATGCAACATAGCCCAAGTGGAATGTCTATGGAGATTCTCTATCATCCATTTTGAAAAAGCACTTTTAGGACAAATCAAGTGGAAAGAAATCTGGAAAGAAGCATTTCAAATAATTTGAAGAAATTTCTCCTTAAACAAATTTGGATAGCCTTTGCTTCTTTGATCTTAGATGATTGCTGGGGGCTTGACAACATGTTTTATTATTCAGTTAGAATAGTTAAAAATACATCTTGTAGATATTTTGAGAGAATTAAGTTTCCCTTTGCTTTTGTAACCAGATTAGCATGCTTTTATATTAATATCCTAAAAGACTATTGTTAGAGAATTTTAATTTCTCTATTGGTAAAAAAATAAATCAGAAGCTCTCACAGTTGACTGCATTTAGCTGATTCAAAATAACTTCTTTATATCAAAATATTTACATTATCATATATTCTTCTTTATAGCAACATAGCTTAATTGAAGACTTCTTACAGAGACAGACCAGAGACAAAACTTGAGACTGGAAATCCAGCTCCTAACTCAATACTCTTTTGCACAGACTCAGTAGCACTTTCTTTACATTGGCTGACTGAGTTACCACATGACTCTTCCTGTTCATGAATATTCCAGCACTCCTCCCTTCATGACAGGAAGAGACATCAGACCTATAGATTTAATACATTTTCCATGGTGAACATTTCCCAATGGTTTAGTCATCATGTCTGCCAAATTATCCTCAGAAGAACAATGATGTAAACTAATCAATTTTCCTTTTACAGCTTCCCTGACATTACAGTACTTAATGTCTACATGTTTACTTCTGTTCTTCACCCTGTCACCAGTTGCCATTTTTATAAAGGCAGCATTGTCTTCAAATATCTTTACAGATTCTTTTACATTAATATTTAAATCTTGCAACAACTGTACATACCATGTTACTTCAGAACACAATTCAGATAAAGCAATAAACTCTGCTTCCGTTGTTGAAATAGCAACGTTTGTTTTCTGGACTTCCATCCAATCAGAGTCCCTCCAAACAATATTATAATCCCAGAATTTGATTTCCTTGTGTTTATGTCATTTGCATAGTCACTATCGACATAACACTTTAATTTCAATTCCTCAGTAATCTGTATTTGAAGACCCAAATTTATAGTTCCCTTTAAATATCTGAGAACCATTTTTACATCCATCCAATGTAACTTTGTAGGTGCAGCAGTAAAACGACTCAAAATGCTTACTGCGCAAGCTATGTCTGCTCTGGACCATTGTGATAGATATAACAAACTCCCTATTGCTGAGTGATATATCTCTTGATCACAGTTTTCACCTTTGTCCACACTTTAACTATTATAAAAATCCGCACTCATGGATGTGTGAGCAGTATTGCAATCTTTCATACTATATTTCTCCAATAACTGCTCGATTTTTCTCCTTTGACTGAGAATATAACCACCTTTTTCATTTTTCTGTATCTCTACACCGAGATAATTTTTTATTTATCCCAAATTCCTTAATTCAATTTTTTTTCCTAATTTATCAGCAAATTCTTTGACTTGTGATGCATCCTTTGCGATGAAGCAAAGATCATCCACAAATGATAACAGTAGACAATTCCCTCCTTGTAACTGTCCAGTATATATACAATTATCAGCTTTGCAACTTTTAAATCCAAGATGCTTTAAAGCAGTATCTAAACAGATATTCCAGTTTTTGGCTGACTGCTTCAGCCCATAAATAGCCTTGTTTAATTTATATACCATGTTAGGTTTTGCAATTTCATATCCTGGTGCTTGGATCATATAAATTTCTTCCTCTAACTCAGCATTGAGGAATGCAGTTGTGATATCAAAGTGCCAGATTTTATGCTTATATGCCGCTGCTAACGCCAGTGCTAATCTTATACTCTCACTTTTCACAGTTGGCGCAAATACTTCATCGTAGTGCACATTCTTTAATTGTGAAAAACCTTGTGCCACTAACCTGGCCTTATACTGTATATCATTATTTGGCAATACCTTTTCCTTATATACCCACTTACAACCCACAGCTTTGGTTCCCTGTGGCAAAGTCACTGATTTAAATACTTCATGGTCTCCCATGGATTTCATCTCTTTATCCATGGCTTCCTTCCATCTTTCTTGTTCAGCTTTTGATAATGCTAATATGTCTTTATAACTTCTTGGCTCATACCACACATTGCAAACCTTTACCTTGCTGGCAGAATACCTGTCAGGCGGAATTCCTGTATTACATCGCTCTGACCTACGTGGTATTAACTGCTCCTGTGTCTCAAGCCCTTCTGGCTTCATGTCTTGTTCAGCCTCTCCTCCCTGAACATGGACATCTTCAATCATCATTTTTTATCATTAGATGAGTTATTATTAAACAGATCACCGTCATTAAGTGAGACATACCCAGAATTTGCATTAATTCTGTCCCAATTTTGTTCTGCAAAATTAGCAGACCTTGAAATTAACAATTCTTTTACTTCCATCGCTAAAGCGATATCCTTTTGACCCTGGCTCATAGCCCACAAACCTGAGCTTTCTTGCCTTTTGCTGTCCTTTTCTTCTGATTACTTTCGGAATATGTACCCATGCGGTACTTCCAAAAATTCTCAAATGTGCCAGTGATGGCTTTCTCCCATATAGAATGGCATATGGAGTATTATTAATGGAGGAACTCCACAGCCTGTTAACTATATAATTTGCAGTCAATATGGCTTCTCCCCAATATGACCTGCTCATACCAGAATCCTCTAATAATGAATCTTTCATTGTTTGCAAAACACCATTCCTTCTTTCAGCTACACCGTTCTCTGCTGCTGTGTAAGGATTTGTACGTCTGTGTCTTATCCCCAACTGCCCCAACCATTGTTGGAATTTAGTTGACATAAATTCAGTACCTCTGTCAGTTTGCAACTGACACACTGTTGTCTGTACCTTCTCTCTACAAAACTTACCCACTGTTTGAATTGTTGTAGCACCTCTGTCTTACCTCTAAGCAAGTAGCAAAACGAATACCTGCTATAATCATCAACAATTACCAGTGCATATTTTGCTCCTCCCAAACTGGCTTGCATAGGTCCCACCAGATCTGCATGGACCAGCTCTAAAACTCTTTTTGTTTGTCTTGTGCTACATTTACTAACTGGGAATGCCTTTAACTTCGATGCTTTGCATACTGCACAGCCCAAATATGTTTTGCATCCCTTCAAATTTAGCCCTTCTGCAAAATCTTGCATTTGCTGCAAAACTTTAAAGCTTGCAAGTCTTCTATGCAGAAGATGAACACATGAATCATGCTCTGCAACATTCTTAAATATATGGGAACATTGAACCTTTTGTCCCTGCAATACATATAGATTATCTTCCTTTATGCCTTCTGCACAAATATTCCCATTCCTCTTGATGAGACACACCCCATTTACAAAAACGACCTCAAAACCTTGTTTGTCTAAATTAGACACACTTAACAAATTATGTTCCATCTCAGGTACACAAAGCACATTGGTAAACTTTGATTCCAAATATGGAATTTTTACATCACCTTTTCCAATGACTTTTCCTTTCTGGCCATTTGCCAAAGCCACAGCTTCTTGTGCTACTGGAACAAACCTGCAAAATAATTCAGAATCATTAACAATTGTTTGACTTGCCCCACTATCTATTAGCCACTTGTCTTTGTTGTTGCTATAGCAAACGTTTGTAACACCAAAATGTTCCTTTTGCAAAGCAATCCTTTTTGGTTGCACAAATGTCCTTTGCTGCAAACAGTTCCTTTGCAAATGTGTCTTTTCTCCACAAATGTAGCAATTCTTTTCTAGCTTAGCAGCTCTCTGCTTGCAAAATCTCTCCTTTGTTGCAATTTGATCCAGGTCCGATCTGCTTGTTTCTTCTTCTCTGGAGACTTGCAGTCTGGACCACCTCCTCAGGAATTTCTCCTCCTGATGGCTGCATCTAAAATGGTGTTTTTCTTCTTCATTAAGCAAACATGCCTTTAAAGTCTCAAACTTTTAAGTCTTGCTCTTCTTTACACTCAAATATCTTAGAAACTGTGTCCCAGCTTTTATCTAAACTGTTCAACACCAATAAAACCTTCTGGGACTCAGGGAATTTAATCCCACGTTGTTCTAAGTCCAAAAATAAACTTTGCATTTTACTTAAATACTGTTCCACAGATTCACCTGGTTGCAAGCAGGCCCTGTAAAGTTTTCTTGACAATTGCACTATATTGCATGCAGAAACATTCACGTGCACAGCTCTCAACTTCAACCAAATCTCCTTTGCAGTCTTTAAATTTGCGATATTTAGAAATTGTTCATCATCTAAATTCAAGATGAGATAAGCCATTGCTCGATCATGACTTTTCTGATCAACTGCTGCAAACACTTGTGGTGGATTTTCTACAATATACCACAGCTCTTTTGCTTTGAGCAAACGTTCCATTTTAACAACCCCCACAATGTAATTCTTCTGGCCCAAACGAGGCACACAGCTTTCCTTACATTCCATTGCAGCCATTCTGCTAATTCTGCCTTGTTTTTATCTTTCTAAACACAGGCAATTTCTTCCAGCTTTAAATTACAATGCAGTCCTTAGTAAGCTCTGGGCCCATAACCTGTTAAAGAATTTTAATTTCTCTATTGGTAAAAAAATAAATCAGTAGCTCTCACAGTTGACTGCATTTAGCTGATTCAAAATAACTTCTTTATATCAAAATATTTACATTACCATACATTCTTCTTTACAGCAACATAGCTTAATTGAAGACTTCTTACAGAGATAGACCAGAGACAAAACTTGAGACTGGAAATCCAGCTCCTAACTCAATACTCTTTTGCACAGACTCAGTAGCACTTTCTTCACATTGGCTGACTGAGTTACCACATGACTCTTCCTGTTCATGAATATTCCAACAATTATGAACAATACAGTATTACAGAACTACATTCAGATTTTATGCACTGCAGGTAGAATTTGTAAACAGATATAGATATATGCAGTATGATTTTCCCAATTACTCTCTCATCAATTCCAACATGTAGCCTAAATTTGCTCTGCTAAGGTGCCCTACCCATTCTGTCACTATTAGATGGAATACCATTTTTCATTTTTATAAGATTGATTTTGTTCCTACATACCTATATGTAATATAAAGTGCTCTCTCTCTGTCTCCCCCTCCCTCCCTCCCTCCCCCTCTCTGTGTAATATATATATATATATATTACAGTAAATAAAATGTATTTTTCCCAGGTGATCATGAATGTGGAAATTCTGTAAAGAAGGGTCTTTCCATCCAAGAAGCTGCTACTTATTTAAAAGTAAGTAACATTAATTTTAAAATGTATTGTTTACTTTTTAAAAATTATTTTAAAAACCGACAGTTAAAAATACTGATAGTATATTGCATGTATATATTTGCTTGTAAGAAATCATTTTGAATTTTTAAGTATTCATATTTAAGCAAAAGAAATATCAAATGTATAGGCTTTTTTAAAAAATTGTGTGTTCTTGTCTGATCAATTTATTCATTATAATCTATTTGGTATGGTGATAAATTAATAGGCCTAAATTCTGCAATACTTTAATCTGTAACTCTCTCTATATATTAAGTATATGCAAGTAACCTTCATTTTAAAGAAATATTTATTTATTACATTTCTATGCCACTCATCTGACTGTTACATTGATTCTAGGTGGCTTATAATAAAAATTAAAAGATGCTAAAAACAAAATTAGAATAAAATATTAAAAGTTAAGACCCACAATGATGGACAATCTGGGGATGAGAATCTTCTCTACCCCATTAACCACCCTCAATGTAGAAGGCCAAGCAACAGAACCAAGTTTTAGGCTCTTCTGGAAGGCCAGGATTGTGGGATGGATCTCAACTGTGATGGGAGATTATTCCAGAGGCTAGGGCCGTATATCTCCTTATTATAATTTCATTATCCAGATGAAGATAGGGACGGGATATACCAGGGGTAGGCAACCTCGGCTCCATGAGTCATAAAAGAGCCGGGGTTGCCTATCCCTGGGATATACAAAATGTTTTATTGTATTTTGAGTGCAAAGTTTCACAGAACACCTGCTCTGAGTACAAAGTCCTGTTTTAAGTACAAAGTAACTATTTCAAATGTTCTGGAAACATTTTGGCCTGCTGTCCTTCCAGTTTGAAATACTTCCCAAAAGTTTGAAATAGCACTTCTATCTGCTTTGCCCTATAATGAGCAATTCCACCTTTAAAATATGATATTTTGTAAAAATCCATTTGCCATACATTTAAAAGTGAAATAGTTTACACATCTTTACCAGAAACTATAAAATCAAAGTCCATAATATTTTGCAATAAAAGCTGTCTGTCAACCTCCAGGTGAAAAGCCCAACTAAGAAAAAAATCAGAGCCATTAAGTTTTATAATGTAATCTTTATTGAGCAGAATCATTTAGGTAGGTTCAAAGTGAAAGCTAGCTCTGAAGAAAAAGCGGGAAAGGAGCAATTCAAAGAATGAATATTCTCCTCTCCTCTCTGACAGTTCAAGTCACATTGCCCAATACATCTGTTTAATTGTTACAGTGAGGAAAAAAATTATTTGATTCTTTGCTGATTTTGTACGTTTGCCTACTGACAAAGAAATGATCAGTCTATAATTTGAATGGTAGGTTTATTTTAACAGAGACAGAATGACAACAACAAAAAATCCAGAAAAATGCATTTCAAAAAAGTTATAAATTGATTTGGGTTTTAATGAGTGAAATAAGTATTTGATCTCCTATCAGTCAGCAAGATTTCTGGCTCTCAGGTGTCTTTTATACAGGTAACAAGCTGAGATTAGGAGCAGTCTCTTCAAGGGAGTGCTCCTAATCTCAGCTTGTTACCTGTATAAAAGACACCTGTCCACAGAAGCAATCAATCAATCAGATCCCAAACTCTCCACCATGGCCAAGACCAAAGAGCTGTCCAAGGATGTCAGGGACAAGATTGTAGACCTACACAAGGCTGAATGGGCTACAAGACTATCACCAAGCAGCTTGGTGAGAATTATTCGCAAATGGAAGAAACACAAAATAACTGTCAATTTCCCTCAGTTTGGGGCTCCATGCAAGATCTCACCTTGTGGAGTTTCAATGGTCATGAATCAGCCCAGAGCTACACAGAAGGATCTTATCAATGATCTCAAGGCAGCTGGAACCATAGTCACCAAGAAAACAATTGGTAACACACTACGCCGTGAAGGACTGAAATCCTGCAGTGCCTGCAAGGTTCTCCTGCTTAAGAAAGCACATGTACAGGCCCGTCTGAAGCTTGCCAATGACCATCTGAACAATTCAGAGGAAAACTGGGTGAAAGTGTTGTGGTCAGATGAGACCAAAATCGAGCTCTTTGGCATCAAGTCAGCTTGCTGTGTTTGTAGGAGGAGGAATGCTGCCAATGTCCCCAAGAACACCATCCCCACCTGTCAAACATGGAGGTGGAAGCATTATGCTTTGGGGGTGTTTTTCTGCTAAGGGGATAGGACAACTTCACCAGATCAAAGGGACGATGGACAGGGCCATGTACTGTCAAATCTTGGGTGAGAACATCCTTCCCTCAGCCAGGACATTGAAAATGGGTCATGGATGGGTATTCCAGCATGACAATGACCTACAACACACAGCCAAGGCAACAAAGGAGTGGCTCAAGAAGAAGCACATTAAGGTCCTGGAGTGGCCTAGCCAGTCTCCAGACCTTAATCCCATAGAAAATCTGTGGAGGGAGCTGAAGGTTCGAGCTGCCAAACATCAGCCTTGAAAACATAATGACTTGGAGAGGATCTGCAAAGTGGAGTGGGACAAAATCCTTCCTTAGATGTGTGCAAACCTGGAGGCCAACTACAAGAAACGTCTAACCTCTGTGATTGTCAACAAGGGTTTTGCCACCAAATACTAAGTCATGTTTTGCAAAGGGGTCAAATACTTCTTTCACTCATTAAAATGCAAATTAATGTATAACTTTTTTGAAATGTGTTTTTCTGGATTATTTTGCTCTTATTCTGTCTCTGTTAAAATAAACTTATCATTAAAATTATAGACTGACCATTTCTTTGTCAGCAAAATCAGCATAAATAATTCCCCCCCCCCCACTGCATGAGAAGAAACTTTGGTTCACTAAAAGAACTCTTCCACAGCTCCAGCTTTCTCATGATGATAAGAACACCTGTGGATCCAAAGCTCTCCTCTTCTTCCTCCCCACTCTGTTGGTAAGCTAGAAGAATGCAGTGGTCCTAAAAGCAGTACGGTTCATTGCTTGACAGGTTGCCCCCCTAGAAAGGAAAGGGAACCTAGAAAACAAAAGAATACAGATCAAAACTTGCTAATCTTTTGCTCGCATCGGCCCCAGCTTCTGAGTTTCTTTGCGTGGAATCGCTTTACCAAACAATCTGCGCTTACGTGCTGTGCTTTCACCCATCTAGATTCTGACATTGGGTAACCCTCCCATTGAATTAAATACTGCAGTTTCCCCTTGTGGATTCTGGAGTCCAGGAGTCGCTTAACTTCATAATGTGTTTCCCTCTCCACCATTATTGGGGCTGGTGCTGCCTTCCCGACTGGTCTTAACGTGAATTCCTTCTATGGCCTTAGCAAATTGCAATGGAATACAGGATGCACTTTTCCCAACCACCTTGTCAACTTCAGTTCAACTGTCACTTGATTAATAGCTTTCACTATGGGGAAGTTTCAGATATTTTGTAGACAGATACACTTTATCCCCTACATGGAATGCTTCCTGGAGAGCCTGCTTCTTATCTGCCTACTTTTTCTGACTTTCGGCTGCCTTAACTAGAGCCTTCTTTGCGTCGCTCCAAACTCGTTGGAACGAAGTCATCAAATAGCTTAGGGTGCTCGAAGATGGAGGCTCTTGGGGGCATTCTGGCATTGGCACAAGCTCCATCCCTGTGGCCAGCTTAAATGGAGTGAAACCAGTGCTACTGTGCACTGCGTTGTTCTATGCCATTTCTGCAAATGGCAGCAACTCTGCCCAATTTGTTTGCTGGTAGTTGACATAGCAACGCAGATACTGCTCCACTATAGTATTGGTGCATTCCACAGATCCGTTAGTACTCAGATGGAAAGCAGAATAGCGCCCCTGGGATGATCCAATCATTCTCACAAACTCCCTCCAGAATTTGGCAATGAATCGGACCCCCCGATCTGAAATAATTTCTTGGGTGCTCTGTGCAGTCAGTAGATGTGTTGCAAGAACACCTTCACTAGCTTCTGGGATGAGGGAGACCGGCACAGGTGATGAAATGGGTTTGCTTCAAGAACAGATCTATCACAGTCCAAATCACGGTGCTCCCCCCCACTTTCTGGCAACTCTATGATAAAGTCCATTGCTATCTCCTCCCAAGGTCTGGTTGGGTCGGCTACCTGTTGTAATAGCCCTGGATTCTTCCCTGGCAGTCTTTTGCTGGCAGCACAGACCGCACATCTCCCACATAGTTTTCAATGTCCTTCATCTTTGGCCACCAGAATTGATGGTTAGTGAGGTGTAGAGTTTTCAGGAAGCCAAAATGCCTGCCTGCTTGGCATCATGGCTGCGTTGCAAAACTTGCAACCACAGGTGGTCAGGAACATACAGCTTATCCTCCTTCCACGCCAATTCATCCCTCATAGTCAATTCTGCCTGGTGAGCCATGAACCATGGGTGGGTCGGCAACTCTTCAGCTGCTGGACAAACGTATTGGGGGGGGGGGCGAGCTTCTCTCTCTTTCCGCCTAGTTGCTTGTGCTGCTTGCTGTCTATCGGGGACGACCGAACTCACCACCTCCTGCCAGGTGCTTTTGTACTGAGGCATGTGGGACAGGGCATAAGCTAGGAAGTCCCCCCCCCCAGGATGTACTTCAGCTCAAAATCAAATCTTTTGAAGTACTACACCCATCTGACTTGTTTAGAGGAAGGCTTGCAGTGGGTTTTCAAAGCCTCTAAGTTTTTGTGATCAGTCCAAACATCAAAGGAGTTTTTACTTACTTCCAGGAACTGACTCAGAATCAGCAACAGCCATCTTGCCGCAAAAGCCTCTTTCTCCCACACTGCCCATCTCTGTTCTATTTCATTCAATTTGCGGGATGTGTACGTGCACCGCTGTAAATCCCCCTTGTCATTCCGTTGAAGGAGGACAGCTCCCATGGCCACATCGCTGGCATCCGCCTGGATCACAAAAGGTTCTTCAGGGTTTGGGTGTTTTAACACAAGTTTGGCGATGAACAGCCCCTTCAATTTCTCGAACACCGCTTGGCATTCCATTGTCCAGCTCAAAGGCTGATTCGGCTGAGGTTTCTTTCCCCCCTTCCCAATCTTTAACAGCTCAGGCACGGCAATTTTGGCAAAAGAGGGGATGAATTGCCTGTAGAAGTTTGCAAACCCCAGAAAACTTTGCAGCTGCTTGCAGGTGCAAGGGGCTTGCCACTCCAAGATGTATTTCACCTTCCCCGGGTCCATCTCTATTCCATCGCACAACACGTGATAGCCCAAGTAGTCCAGTTTAGATTTGTGAAATTCGTATTTAGACAGCTTGGCATACAGCTTAGTGTCCAATAGCTTTTTTAGAACTTGCCGCTCAAGCAATGTAAATGTGGATATTGTCAAGATACACTAAGACCCCCTTGTAAAGATGTTCATGTAGCACCTCATTTATGAGTTGCATGAATACTGCGGGAAGCCCCTGTAGTCCAAATGGCATTACTTTAATCTGGTAACTCCTCAGGGGACAATTGAAAGCTGTCTTCCACTCATCGCCTTCTTTAATTCTCACTCGATAGAATGCCTCCTTTAGGTCTACTTTTGTGAATTTCTTCCCCTTGGCTAAGTGGCCTAGCATGTCCTTCATGAGGGAGGGGGGTACATGTTTTCCATGCACGCTGTTAATTCCTCGAAAATCCACACATATCTAAGCCAGTGATGGCAAACCTTTTAGAGGCCAAGTGCCCAAACTGCAACCTAAAACCCACTTATTTATCACAAAGTGCCAGGGCCGCATCAACATTGTGGTGCCGTCGGGGTGGGTGCACATGGCCACTGAATGGGTGTGGCTGAGGTGTGTGGCCATCTCGATGTTGCTTGTAGGGGGACGCCTGTGGGGGCCAGGCAGGATTGGGGGTGATCCAGGAGGTCTCTGGCAGGTGGGGCGGTGAGCAGGAGGCTCGTCCTGTGGGGTGAGGCAGAGCAGAGCGGGGTGCCATTGCTGTGGGGCAAGGTAAGGTGAGGCAGGGGCCGGAGTGGCTGCTGCCTGACACCATTGGTCTCCACACACAAAGGCCAGCAAGTCGGGGGCCGACACCATCCATCAGCAGCCCAGCCTGCCGGTCCCTTGAGCAGTGCATTCTGGGGCTCACAGCCTGTTGCCAATACTGGGCCAGCCCTCCAGCAGCAGGCGGAGTAGGGAAGGGGTGAGGCACATGATGCAGACAGCCAGACGCACCTACTCCATCCCATCTGTTTTTGCTTGCGGTTGGAGAGCAGGTTACTGCTGGTCATCTAGGCCCCCTCGCAGATCTTGCCCTTGGCCCACGCATGGAGCCTGTTTCTCTCGCGCACCCAACACACCTTGGCCCTGCCTCAGGCAGCCGCCGTCAACAGCTCGCGCAGGTCCATTAGGCTGCTGCCACCACCCAGAACAGCAGCCCCACCCAGCACAAAGGAGGCAAAGTGGCCGACTAGCAAGCTCGAGTACAGGTGGTAGAGCACGGCCACACCCAGCAAACCAAAGGCCACCGCGAGATGGGAAAGCTGAATCCCCATCGGTGCCATGGCCCCCCAATCCCAGCTAGGATTACGTGCCTCCCCCCAATCTCTGCTGGGCCTGGGTGGCCATGATGCTGATGGGGATCCGGCTTTCCCCAGTCAGGGTGGCCTTTTGCCTGCTGGCCCTGGGTGTGCTCTACTACCTTTATGCGGGGCTTCCTAGCTGACCATTTTGCCTCCTTCATGCTGGGCAGGCCTGTAGCTCTGGGCAGTAGCCTAATGGACTTGTGTGAGCAGCTAGTGGCCACGACGTGTGTGCCTACAGAGAGGGCTATGAGTGCCACCACTGGCATGCGTGCCACAGGTTCGCCACCACTGATCTAAGCGACCTGTCTTTTCTTTAGCGTACTGGGGCCGTGACTCGAGATTTCATGGTTTGAATAAACCCCCTCGCTAAGTTCTTGTCAATGTACTCCCTCAGCTCCTTCATCTCCTTTGGAATCATGGAATACATCTTTGGCTTGGGGAGTTTTACCTTGGCAGGATCTCTATGGCACAGTCCGTGGGGCAATGGGGGGGGGCAGGACGTCCCACTCCTCACTGAACGCTTCCAGGAATTCTTGGTACTCCCTCAGGATTGATTACAGTCCCTCCCTCCTCTTCCTCTGACACTCCCTTGCTGTGCTCAGGAGTTCTCTTCACCCACACCTTCTTGGGCTGGTTCCCCCATGATCTAGCTCACGGCTCTCTCCCAGTAGATTCATGGTCGCCATTAGCCACAGTAGGCCCAGGATCATGTCCTATGCCATCTTTGGGGAGCCCAGGAAGCAAACGGTCTCCTGGTGCTCTCCTAGTTGCAGTTGCACTGGCTCAGTCAGATGGGAAGCAGCTTTGCCCTCTATCAGTGAGCCATCAACCTGTTTGAACTTCCTGGATATTTTAAGCTTCCTCATGTGCAACCCCAACTTTTGCACTACCGCTTGACTAATTAAGCAAAGAGAGCAACCTGAGTCCACGAGGGCTTTAACCAATCCCCTTGCCCCTGAGCGGGATGCCTTGATGCCCACGCTAACCTCAAGGTGGTTAACTGGTCCACTCACCTTCGGGTCATCTTCTCCCTCGAAATCATTTTATCCCATGCCATATTAACAATAATTCTTAGCAAAAATTTGTTGGTCAGGAATGTTCTTCAGTCAAAATCTTTTGAGTCTGAAGTAGTTAGAGATAATACAGTCTCCAGCCCATGAAACTGCATTGTTACATTTTTGTCATCTTTTTCTATTTATAGTTTTCTTTTTTAATTGCTTATGTTAGATCGCAGTTTCAGTTAGCACAGCACATGTGAGCTCACGGTAACTACAGCCAGGTCCTAGTCACTTTTGTCAGCTTTTATAACTGTAATACTCACATTGATACCTTTGTGCTTCATTGAACCAATTTTCAGTTACTGATCTTGACTGAATGGTGATGAGCACAAAGAGATTGGGGCTTTGAGTAGACCGTGGTGATTGATAGTGAATATAGGAAGCTGAATTGGTCTCAGATTGGTGATTTATGCCTAGGTCAGACTAGATAAGGTTCAATGGCATTCAAAGGGGATCATATTTGCCCTCTTGTGCCCACATAGAGATTCCAGACTAATTTCCCATTTGACTTGTCCACTTGGCTCAGGCAGAATCTCTCCGACACGGGCAGGGCTGTGCCAAAATTTTTAATAGGATAGCCAGTGAAAGGAAACAGGGAAAGAAAGATTAAAAAAGTCCCTTTCAGTATTAAAGTAAACCTGACTGAAAAACAGCTAATTGCATACTCATTATTCACTTAGATCAGGCCTCTCAAACTTGCGATGTCATGTGACATCGTGCGACGTATTGTGACTTTTCCCCATTGCCAGCAATGGGGTGGGTGCGGTTTTGGCGTGACACATCTGGCCCATGGGCTGGCAGTTTGACATGCCTGACTTAGATCATCACCAAGTTTAGCTATGACTCTAGTTCATCACTAAATTATCAGATGGAATGGGTACATAGTGTTTCCTATTTCTTATAGGTTTCATTGTCTCCTTCTAAAGCCCATGTCCAAATCATAATCTGTAGCATTTGTGCACTGTTTTGCTCCTTCCTATATTTATGATGAAATATCTAGACATTAATGACAAAGTAACATGAAATATAAATGAATTTTGTATGTGTGTACATATTTATAGTTTTATTAAAATGCTTTATGTAGCATTGTTACATTATACCAGAATTTATTTATTTTGGAAATTTGCAACAGCTCTCACTACTGAATGTTTTGTATACAATGACTAGCGAATTCATGGTCTTTATTTTTATTTGATTTCCTTGCTTCTCTTAGAATTTAGGTCCAGACTATGAAAATGCATTTAATGAATCGTTGCAATGGTTATTAAATAGTGGAGAAGATGTTGGTATAAAGTAAGTCATTTTATTTCATATTTTTTCTAGAAATAGTTTAATTATGGATTGTCTTTCAAATCATAATACAATAAGATTATTATTAAAATTATTATTATAAAGCCATAGAAAGAAGAGGGAATGTACATCTCTGCAGCTTGTTTATGATCTGAATCATAAGTATAAGAAAAGGTTGAATTATCTTTTATAGGTATGTTGGTAACAGCTCAGATGAAGAGTCCATAACCAATACAACTGATATAAAATATCTAGTGTCAACTAAGCCACAGATGACCCTTACATGCCGTTTTCGACGTGCATTTATTACTGCAACCTGTAGATCATTCATTCTGCTGTTAGGTGAGTATTATTCAGTATTTTTATTCTTAAAGTTTAATTTATACTTGTGTGACTTAACGTTTCTTAAGTGTGATGGTAATTGACAATTCAATTTTTTGCAGTAGATTTCGTACCCTTTATATGAAAATAGAGGAAATTGGTAAGCATTGTGTTGAAACTTTATAGTGCAGAGGTCCCCAACCTTCTGGGCATCAGGGACCGGTGCTATGGAGCAAGGTTTTTCCACGGACCAGAGGGGGTGTGGTTTTGAATACTGCCTGCATCCTGAGGATGGAGCTTTCCTTGTTTGTGCGGCCCACTTGTTGCCATGCTGTGGACTGGTGCTGGCCCACAGATCGGAGGTTGGGGACCCCTGTTATAGTGTATAATGTGATAATTTAGATCCAAATACTAATATAAAAGAAAGGAATTATAAGGAAATAACCACATAAACACCTTTTTAGTAGTTTGTAAAATAGCACATATAGTGATTGCTGCCTGCATAGTTCAATGGAAATTAATCTAAGTGTGTTCTGTACACTTAAAAATACAGGTAGTCCTTGACTTGACTACTTGAGCCCAAAATTTCTGTTGCTAAGTGAGACACTTTTTAAGCGAATTTTGTCCCATTTTACAACCTTTCTTCACGCAATTGTTAAGTGAATCACTACAGTTGTTAAGTTAGTAACATGGTTATTAAGTGAATCTGGCTTCCCCATTGACTTTGCTTGTCAGAAGGTGATCATATATAATACCGGGACGCTGCAATCATCATGAATATGAGTCAGTTGCCAAATGTCTGAATTTTGATCATGTGACCATGGATGCTGCAACAGTCATAATTGTGAAAAACAGTCATAAGTCACTTTTTTCAATGCTGTTGTAATTTTGAACGGTCATTAAATGAACTATTGCAAATTGAGGACTACCTGTACTAATACTGAAGAAATTTAATATTTTTAAAATTTAAAATGTGATATTTAATGCCTATAATTCTTGAAATATATTTATAATTTGTGCTGTTGTATGTAAAATACTTTCTAATGGAGTATGCACGAAGTGGGGGAACTTGTTTTGAACTTGGGACATAATATCTTAACTAAAAACGTTCCATTAGAACATTTTAGTTGTAACAAAAAACTTGAAAACAGTTTGAATATTTGTTTTACTTCCTTGGTTTTCACTTGACAATCACATCAGTAGGCTGAAAGAATGGAAAAATTGGCAAAAGGGATGATGTAAAAAAAAAAGGGAAAAAAATCAAGTAGCTCTTACTGACAGAATAGAAATTAGTATTCCTCCCAGGAAGAGGCAATTCTCTCATATTCATCAATCAGCATGAATCAGTATCTCCCACCTTGAACATTCCACCCATTATTATGCTTTGGTTTTCTTTAATTGTTCGCTGCCATTATCATTTACTGCTAGTGCCTAACTGTGTGACTCGTGTTACTACCATGTTTCCCCAAAAAGAAGACCTGGTCTTGTATATATATATGAGTAATAATATTAAAAATATGAACCCTGGGTATATTCATGTTTAAAATAAAATGAGCACCAAGGTAGTTAAAACTATAAAAGTTTAATTTAAAAACGCCAAGCTTTCACCGTCACCTGCCGGCATCATCAGGGCTTAAAACACCAGAGAGTGGGAGAGTCTCTTATAAGCAAGCCAGAGTCTGCGCCCGGCTCCTTGATCTCGTTATCGGACCTAATTGGATAGATTGTACTCCGGTGATCCGTTTCTTCCTGCACCCCTTATCTACGTGTATGTCCTCATTTGCCTTCTTTTCCTTGGATTCTAGGGTGGGTGGGGCAACCTCCCTATCTCCCTGGTTGCCCCCCTCCTTTGATCCATTCTCTCCCTCAGGTTTGTGTAGTGGTTTGCATTTCTCTTTCCTCTTTTTCCAATCCACATCCATGCAGCTATTCTCTTTACGAGTGCTTTCCCTTTCTTCCCCAATGCCTCCCCCTCGTGCCCAGTTGTTACTAAGATGGTCATGTGTAACATTCTGGGCTGCCTGGGTTACAGCAGTAAATTGGGATAGTTCGGTAAGCTGTTTATCCATGTGATAAGCCTCGTAAGTATGGTCATGCACAGTCATCATGCACCTCCCCCCCTTTTTTGGTCTTCTGCATCCTTCCTCCACACGTTACAATCGGGATCACCGATGCGGCGGGAGGTGGGATTATGATCTCCTCGAACGTCGTGACGTTCTTCTGCTCCCCTCCTCCCTCCAATGCTTCTCGTTCTTGCATGCGTGTGGTACAGGTCTTTAGAGTCAATGGGTGCTGCCGATACGGGGTGCGGCAAGATGATTTCACAAGCCCTCCCCACGTGTTCTTCCATCCGGGTTCACTCTTCTCCCTACTCCTCGGGATATCCACCCACTCGTCATTACACTCAGTGCCGTATGCTCCATGCGTTCCTGATTCGGTTGGTGTTGCTGGTCGGGGGAGTCGTCCCGTCTTCTTTGGATCGGTCAGCTGCTTTCTCTCAAGCTGTAAGTGAGGTGTCAATCCTGATAATCTCCTCCCATCTCCATCTGCGATGTTTTCCTGCGCACCAATTGGGATGTCCCCGGTGTCCATAATACGGGGATTCTGGGCTTTGATTTTCGCCGCCCTCCTAGCCTTTTGGAAGCGCGTCAGTACTGTGGGGGTGGTGGGGGTTTTCGGATGTTGCTCTTTCCCCTCTAGGTTATCCACAATTTGTCGGGGGATTGGCATATCTTCCTTGGTTTCTCTACTGAATATGCCATTGAGCCGTCGGTAACGGGTGGGCAACTGGCCGCACTCCATGATCTTAATGCCAAATGTGCCGAGCGGAGGTCAATGTGCCGGTTAATGGAGTCACTATTGGAGAGCCATGCTTCTTTAAGCAGCCGGCCTCCCTTTGTATTGTCACTTGCCAAGACGCATACGTCGTTAAAATTAAAGCGGTGGCCCAATTCCGCCATATGTACCCATATCTGGGAGTGCTGTTCACCCTTTTCACTGCCAGTTTGTGTTCATGGACCCTGGTCTTCACTCGTTTGGAAGTCTCCCCAACATAGTTGCATGGGCAGTCCATACAATCAATTTTATATATGGCTGCCGACCTTTCCATGCTGGGGAGCGGGTCCTTGGGGCGCATAATAGTAGCATGTAGCATTTGATTAGGTCTGTGTGCTACTTTTATGTTATATGGAGCTAGGATTCTTGCTGTTGCCTCTGAGACATTGCAGATATAGGGGAGGGTGACACGTGTTGTCTGTGGCACTGGTTCGTCAGGTGGTGGGTTACTCTAGGATTCAGATGGTATACTATGCCGATTGATGAATCTTACCAGGTACCCATTGCGCTTGCATATCTGGAAAAGGTGGTTTCTTTCCTCCTTCTTTGCTCTGGCAGTGCTACAATGTGACTCCACTCGTTTGAATAAGGTTCTAACACAACTGACTTTATGGGCTGTCGGATGGTTACTCTTATAATGGAGAATCCTATCCGTACAAGTTGCCTTTCGGTATACCCTGGTGGTCAAAGATCCATCCAGTTGGCGTTGAACTAATACATCTAAGAATGCCAACGAGCCCTGATTTTCTTCCTCCATGGTGAATTGGATGTCTGGGTATACCGAATTCAAAATGCCCATAAAGTCAGTCTTGTGCTGCTTCTTGATGACTGCCCATGCAACTATGTTGGGGAGACTTCCAAACGAGTGAAGACCAGGGTCCATGAACACAAACTGGCAGTGAAAAGGGGCGAACAGCACTCCCAGATATGGGTACATATGGCAGAATTGGGCCACCGCTTTAATTTTAACAATGTATGCGTCTTGGCAAGTGACAATACAAAGGGAGGCCGGCTGCTTAAAGAAGCATGGCTCTCCAATAGTGACTCCATTAACCGGCACATTGACCTCCGCTCGGCACATTTGGCATTAAGATCATGGAGTGCGACCAGTTGCCCATCCCGTTACTGACGGCTCAATGGCATGTTCAGTAGAGAAACCAAGGAAGATATGCCAATCCCCCGACAAATTGTGGATAACCTAGAGGGGAAAGAGCAACATCCGAAAACCCCCACCACCCCCACAGTACTGACGCGCTTCCAAAAGGCTAGGAGGGCGGCGAAAATCAAAGCCCAGAATCCCCGTATTATGGACACCGGGGACATCCCAATTGGTGCGCAGGAAAACATCGCAGATGGAGATGGGAGGAGATAATCAGGATTGACACCTCACTTACAGCTTGAGAGAAAGCAGCTGACCGATCCAAAGAAGACGGGACGACTCCCCCGACCAGCAACACCAACCGGAGCATACGGCGCTGAGTGTAATGACGAGTGGGTGGATATCCCGAGGAGTAGGGAGAAGAGTGAACCCGGATGGAAGAACACGGGGGGTGGGGCTTGTGAAATCATCTTGCCGCACCCCGTATCGGCAGCACCCATTGACTCTAAAGACCTGTACCACACGCATGCAAGAACGAGAAGCATTGGAGGGAGGAGGGGAGCAGAAGAGGAACGTCATGACGTTCGAGGAGACCATAATCCCACCTCCCCCCCGCATCGGTGATCCCGATTGTAACGTGTGGAGGAAGGATGCAGAAGACAAAAAAGGGGGGGAGGTGCATGATGACTGTGCATGACCATACTTACGAGGCTTATCACATGGATAAACAGCTTACCGAACTATCCCAATTTACTGCTGTAACCCAGGCAGCCCAGAATGTTACACATGACCATCTTAGTAACAACTGGGCACGAGGGGGAGGCGTTGGGGAAGAAAGGGAAAGCACTCGTAAAGAGAATAGCTGCATGGATGTGGATTGGAAAAAGAGGAAAGAGAAATGCAAACCACTACACAAACCTAAGGGAGAGAATGGATCAAAGGAGGGGGGCAACCAGGGAGATAGGGAGGTTGCCCCACCCACCCTAGAATCCAAGGAAAAGAAGGCAAATGAGGACATACACGTAGATAAGGGGTGCAGGAAGAAACGGATCACCGGAGTACAATCTATCCAATTAGGTCCGATAACGAGATCAAGGAGCCGGGCGCAGACTCTGGCTTGCTTATAAGAGACTCTCCCACTCTCTGGTGTTTTAAGCCCTGATGATGCCGGCAGGTGACGGCGAAAGCTTGGCGTTTTTAAATTAAACTTTTATAGTTTTAACTACCTTGGTGCTCATTTTATTTTAAACATACATACATACATACATACATACATACATACATACATACGTAGCCTCCAAAAGAGGCACCAGGTCTTATTTTCGAGAGATGTCTTACTGCTTACCTTAGACCGCTGCAACCAGACCTGCCATGCCCCAACATTTGTTGCACTGCTGCCTGACTTCTGCGGCTGCTTGCGGCTGGATACCATGTGGCACATTGCATTGGTGCCACCACTCGTGGCAGGAGGCTGCATGGCTCATTGTGCTGGTGCCACCACTCATGCCATCACAGTGCAACACACTATCTGGCTTCCTCCCATGACCAGTGGTATCGGTGCAAAGCACCATGTGGCGTCATACAAGTGGCGGCACTGGTGCGAATGGCCACATGGCCTCCTGCGAATGGCAGCATCAGCACAATGCATCATGTGGTATCCTGCTGTGAGCGGCCACAGAAGAAATTGGGCAGCGGTGTGACGGGTGTCGGTATGTGTGAGGCATGCAGCGGTCCAAATGTAAGCTGGTGCGGGATGTGTGGGGCAGCTCCACCCGCATCCATATCCTAACTTAATTTTTATGTATGCATCTCGTCCCAAAACTAGGGCTTAATTTAGAAGGTACGGCTTGTATTAGGCGCATGTGTAAAAAATCAAGCTAGGGCTCATTTTTGAGATAGGTCTTATTTCGGGGAAACATGGTAAGTATTACATCAGCATAAAAATCAATGCCACCTACTCCCACTGCTAATATATTTTCAGACTTTGCTGATGCTAGTATATTAACATTCACAGCCCTTCATAAAAATAAATAAAACTATGCTCTATTTTCAGCTAGCAACTAAACCAATACAATTCCTTTTAGTTTCTAAAATTGACACTTTTCTCTACAGTAATAAAGCACAATAGCACGCAGAGAGTTCATGCCCAAAATGCAAGTATTTCATTTTTAAATGCACTCTGAAAGTTTCACATCAGCAGGCACAAGAACGTATACAAGTGTATGCAAAGGACTCTCAAAACAAATCAATTTTATCAGTATGGTCCTTTTGCCATTTTAAAATCCATTGTGACATTATATTAGAACACTAACAAAATCCATAGCTATCTAAAACCAGTATAATTAATGCTTTTTTGTGGGGAGGGGGACCACTACGTTGACTTTCCATAATATAAAATTGAAATTTTGTGAAGGTGAGCTTACCGGGTGAGAATATTCTGGGGAATCAAGTGTTAGAAAAGTGGAATTCAGTGTTCCCTCTTTTCATAGACTGGTGGAAGGAGCCAGCATAGTATTTCTCCATATAGCACCATTGACAACTTTAGTGCCTCCTGGGAGGATCTTGGCCTAGTCATTTTCAGATCAGATCATTTTGAACAACCAGCTTAAGTAGGCAATCCATAGGTGTTCCTAGAAATTGTATTTCACAATCTGCTTTTTTTATCTTGGTGCCACAGTGAAGATCTGGCCATCTAGATGTTTTAATTAACTTGATTTGCTGTGTGAGCCAGATTCTTATAGTATATATAAGTAGTTCTGGCCCACATTCTTCATCTGTGGGGTTCAGTAAGGGACTGTCTTGACTTGTGCCTGTATCAAGTGTGAATTAAATTTATCAGGTAGAAACATGTGATAGAATTTATTATTATAGTTTTCATGACACTTTTCACTTGGTGAGATAAGGGATGTACCCCTGCCTGATAGGAGTAGTAAGGTGGCTTTAGAGCAATCAGCTAGAGAAGACACTGGATTCTAAAATTTTCCATCTTAAAAAGGAATACACAGCCACAATCTCTGTGATCATTTATATGATGCACTCAATAACTACTTTAACTACTGTGCTGGTGCTCTGCTGTCCTTGAGACCAAGTATCTTGCTCTTAACTGCTAGTATAATATTATCTACTACCATTAGTTGCATTAAGATACTTTGGTGAGGACAGTTAAGCATGGTAAATAGTTCAGCAATAGTATAATGGCTAGTTCTCACACAAACTCTTGGTTGAAGAATTCCCTCAAATAGATAAATTGAATATATATTTGGAAGGAGAGGCGTTGGAGGCAGCAGAGAAAAAAAAATGTCTTTTTAAATTTTAAAGAGAATCTTTTCTCTGTGTCTATGTTGATATTTAATCATCCAGGTCATGGTTGTCCCAAAGGTGCTGGACTTTCTTGGTTTTTCCTTGGTTTTTCTCTGTACATTAAATTGCTTTAAAAAATATATATATAAACTCCAAAATTAAAATTCCATAGGATAGACCCTCAGGCAGCCAGACATGCATACAATTCAGCACAATAGTGAATCTAAGTGACAGATTGCTGGCAGCTGTTCTCATGATAGGTCTAAATCTTTCATTAACAAGAATTATATTCAGAGTGGTATTGATCATTTGCTGTTTATACGGCTTCTTTCATCTACCTGTTCCCTAGCACACTACCTCTTAATTATCCCACTCACCCTCAGTGAACAAGGCCAATGGATTTTTTTAAACATTACAAAATGCAAGGCTACAGTCCAATCAATAGAGGAGGGAAATATTCAAATTTAAATGGGGAGAACATTTTGGATTCAGGGTAGGTGCATTTGCTGTTACTCTTGGATGTTCTTTAAAGAACTTTTTCTTGGGTATCTATATGCTGCCAGCAGGTATAACAAGAGGATTTACATTGGATCCAAAGTGCTTTTTTCACTTTGGATCTAAATAATGACCAACTTTAGTAATCCTTTTTTTCCAAAACAGAATGGAATCCTCAAGCATTGGCACTCAGACTAACAGTGGTTTGTTCTAAGTAGGTGTTTTGACAATGGAATGCCAGAAATATTTGTTTCAAGCTAAACATGTCATTGAATCCACATATGTTCTAAGCTAAAAACTGGCATCATAATATTTGAACTGTTAGTTAGATGTTTCTGTTTTTATTTGGCACAGGTATTGGAATGATTTGGGGAGTCATAAAATATACGAAATATAGATGGTACAAAGAAGAAGAGGAGACTAGGGAGATGTATGACATGATTGTAAAAATTATAGGTAAGTTTTAACTAAGTTCTCAATTAATAGTGTGCTTCACTATTGGCACCATGTTGTATAAATAATTCTTGAGACTTTTCAGAAGTTGGACTGTGATAGTTTGTTCCATCCATACAGAAGATAATATGCATTTTGAGTGTCAGAAGTTAGTTTAAATACTTAAATACTTTTCATTAGATAACTTGTTGTGATGCCAATTTGATGTAGAAGTTAGTTAACACAATATTTTTCAGATGTTCTAAGAACTCACAATGAAGCATGTGAGGAAAACAAAGAATTACAACCATATATCCCTATTCCCCATGTACGAGATTCTTTGATTGCACCAAAAGACAGGTATGTACAAAGAGTTAAAAATATTTAACATATTAGTTTATTCAGAGTACCTCAAAGATGAATGTTGGAGAAAGATTCTTAATATGTGTTAATACTTAAATAAGTATTTTACCAAAATAACTTCTTTTTTATTTCATGTTTCAGGAAGAAAATGGAAAAAGTATGGAAAAGATCTGTTGATTTCCTTGCTGCTAATGAATCTAGAGTTCGCACAGAAACACAAAGAATGGGTGGTGCCGATTTTCTGGTATGGAAGTGGATACAGTCATCTGCATCATGTGATAAAATGCTAATCATGCCATCTAAAGTGTGGCAAGGTCAAGGTATGCAATACTGTATATTTATATTTTGTGAAGTGTTTTCTCTTTATTATAACCTTTAGTTAATACTAACTCTAGTTTATCAGTTGTAATGATATTGATATAATTTTGTATTTTTATATTCATTGTGTATGTTTCTTGAGTAGCCAGAAATGTAAATAGCCATGGTGTGTATGCGTTTTGAAAAATGATTTTTGTTTTCTTTGTTAGGTAAGTTATGTAGGTATGAAAACTGCCTGGCTCCCTGGGTTACTTCAGTAGATATCTATGTCTAACTCCCATTCGAGTTGTTATTCATCTATCCAACAATATATTGTCAAGCCACTGCTAAGAATCTTTCTAAGAATAAGCTAATTACAATTTATTAATTAACTTATTCCCTTTAAAGCCACTATTTTTCCTACCAATGCATTGAATCTTAAGACCAAGCTTAGGCTATAGTGATTGTAGTTTTTAATTAGATTAGCTGAGAATATTTATTATAATAGAGAAAAATAATATTGCATCCTTTTAAAATATCATTTGTTTTCACCACAAAATATGTCATATATATCATATCATATTTGACAAAGGTAGAACTCAAGGCCCCCACCTATTTGAAAAAGTGTACTTTCTGCCTGTCTATTTTCTTTTAAGTTCTTCCACTTCTAACAGTTCTGTTTTGGTTCAAGTCATTTATAATAATATTTTATAATTATTATTTGCAATTATAAAGGATTGTTTCATATGCCAGGATATATGGGAGGAAAGCTAATGTATACAGTACTACAGCCACATTTCTATTGTATCAATTTCATTAAATCACAACAATGCTGTCTAATAGTGTTACTGAAAATGTAATAGTATAGTTTTGTGGTGGCGAACTTATGGTACGCATGCCACAGGTGGCATGGAGAGCCCTCTCTGTGGGCGCATGTGCCGTCACCCCAGTCCTAAGCCTTCAGTCCTGTCCGTGAGCAACCTGCATCAATACTTGCACAGGGTAAGGTTGCTGCGTCCGCCCCTGCCTCCCCCAAGCATTTTTTTACTAACCTGCCTTTCAGCTGCATTCCATTTCTCTGTTCACTTCTCAGTTTTGCTACGTGTTTGTGGGACTATTGGTAAAAAAAAAAAAAAGCTCTATCAGACTTTCTAACTTCTTGCGAGATCTCAAGAAGTTAGAAAGTCTGATGGAACTATTTTTTTTTACTGATAGTCCCACAAACACGCAGCGAAGGCTGAGAAGCGAACGGAGAAACAGAATGCATCTGAGCAGGGGCAGGCACAGCAACCTTACCCTGCATGGTGGCAGGAGGGTGGGGCATGTGGCCTTCCCATGCCAGGCCAGCCCCTGCAATCCTGGTGCGGCCGTGCTGGGCGGCGGTGGGCAGGGCGTTGAGGTGGGGACTGGCAGACTGACCAAAGCAGCAGGTGGAGTGTGGAGGCTCGGGGAGGGAGGGTGCTGAAAGATTGCGAAGTTGTAATTGATTGACCTTTTTCCCCCCCAAAAAAACTTCCTTTGTTTTCCTTGCACGTGGCAGCGGGGCAGATTGCGAAGGAGAAATGGCACAGGGCTAGGAGTCAGGTAAGGAAAGAAAGGCATTCTGGGGAGAGCAAGGATTTCTTTCCTTACCTGCCCCACTTGTTCTGAGGCCGTTTTCTGCTCAGACGTGTTGCTCTTGCCAGTGGCCCGACCACCCACTTCAGCACCTTCCCTCCCCGAGCCTCCAGTGTTCCACCTGCTGCTTTGGCGGCTCTGACAGAGAAGAGAACTTCACAGCTCTGCCTACCGAGCCACCAAAGCTGTAGCTCAGGGGTCCTCAAATTATGGCCTGACCTGTCTTTTTATCTGGCCTGCCTCAACCTCCTGGGCAAGCCGTCCAATCGCGAGGAGAATGTGGGTGGATGGTGGCGAGAGCCCCAGCCAGTGGCAGGACGGTGAATTGGGAGATTTTTTCCCAGTTTCTCTCGCACGTGCCAAAGGGCGCGCTTGGGCTTTGGCCACATCTCCTTCCTCTCCTTCCTCTCCTCCTCTGACCTATTCACATTTTTACCTCAGGGCCGGGCTGAGAGGCTTAGGCCTCGGTTGCAGCCTCAGCCTCACTTAGGGCAGCCAAGCCTGGTGATGACAATGCCATTGCTGCTGCTGCTACTGAGGCAGGTCCCTCACTAGGCACTACAGAAAGCGAGGCCCAGCCTCCACCACCGCTGCCACCATGCCGGCCAAAAGGAAACTGGTGCCGCCAGCCCTCAACATCACCCCCACCATCGCCAAGGGACCCAGCCCCACTAGCAGTTGGAGTGGGGCTGCTGGAGTGGGGCGCCGGTTATGGGTCTTTGAGGGAAGTGGGCGAAGGGCGAGGTATTTGTGAGGGGCGGCCGGGGTGAGCGAGAAAAAAGGAGGAGAATTTGCTCCTGGAGGGTTATTTCGGGGTTGTGAGGGGTTGGAGCTGAGGCGATGAAAGATCGGGGAAGCCGCTGGGAGGGAGGATGCGGTTGGCCTTTGGAGGAGCATCCTGATCCATGAATGGGGTTGGTGGTGCCGCATCCAGGTGAAACCTTGAGAGGTAGGCAAAGCTGGAGGTGGTGGAGATGATGGAGCAGCTCAGAGGAACCGGGAGTGCCGGTGCTGGTGGTTGAGAGAAACTTCATTGGGCTTTAGGGTCCAGGAAATGATGGAGGAAGGATGGGGGCATTGGGATGTGCCCCATGGGAAAGAGAAATGAGGCCCTGCCAGGCAGGTTCTTCTGCCCTGAGACAATCCGGAATGCCAATCAAGGAGAGTATTTCTGGCTCAGAGTTCAAATTAAGGATCCTTGGGGGGGGGGTGTCTCTGACGGTGGTGGTTTTCTTGCAAACGTTTCAGGACTAAAAGTAGGATAATAAGTGAACTAATGATGTTACCTAGTTTGGGTCATGAGACGTCTACAAGAAAGACACAAAGCTCAGAGAGGACCAATCTACAACCGTCCTCCTCTTCTTTTCTTCTCCTCCACTCCACAAACCCCATTCTCTTCTGCCACTCCTGATGTTACCTAGTTTGGGTCATGAGATGTTTGCAAGAAATGCTGAATGGAAATGGCACCCCTGCCATACCCCCTGCCTCGCCCCGCAGGATGAGCCTCCTGTCCACCGTCTCACCTGCCGGAGACCCCCTGGATCTCCGCCAACCATGCCCGACTCCCACAGGCGTCCCTCCCCACGAGCAACATCGAGGTGGCCACCCCCACCCCGGCCACACCCACTCAGTCTGCCATGACCATTGCAGCCACGCCCACCCAGTGGCCTTGCCCACCCTGTGGGCCATGCTCACCCAGCACCCGACGATAAGTGGGCTGTGGGTTTCAGTTTGGGCACTCGGTCTCTAAACGGTTCGTCATCATTAGTATAGTTAGTAACATATGCATTGTATTGAAGATAGTGGTATCTCTAACAGTAATCTGAAATATGTGCTATGGTAGTGAATTTATATAGTTTCATTAATTTACTCTGCATTGTGCATTAGTCGTCTTATAATTTATGTAACCAGTAGGGACTAGATTGGTTTTAAAATATTTGATATGGAATAATACGATTTATTGCTAACATATGTATATTTGGTAGCATTTCATTTAGATAGAAGAAATTCACCACCAAACAGTTTGACCCCTTGCTTAAAGATTCGCAATATGTTTGATCCAGTAATGTAAGTATACTTTTTTCTTTACATATATAATATTTTCATGTTTATACAAATAGAATATCTATTTAAATATAGAATAAATTGTTTAGGAAAGGAGAGATAGAACAGAATTGTATTTTGATACTCTGCATTCGTTTTTTTTACTGAACATCATACAATGGCAAAAAGTTTGTGAATCCGTTAGAACCATCAGTAATTCTGCAGTTCTGTGACCTACAATGTAAGCTGAATTTCATCTCAGTCCTAGATGAGAAATTTCTAGTTAAATAAACAAAACTAATACAGACTAATATGTGAATACAGTACAGATTCAATATTAGTCGACTTGTTGAAAAATGTATACAAAGCTTTAGATTTAACAAACTTTATCTAAACCAAATCTTTCCTGGCTCTGGATCACTCCTGCACATTGGCTTGGAGGAATTTTGGATTTGGAGGTATTTTGGCCCATTGCTCTTTAAGTAAATTTTTTTAGTTCATGGGTATGTTGCAGTTCTCTTACATACAGAGTTCTTATCAAGGTATGCGACATCATTGCAGTAGGACTTAAGGGTAGAGCTTTGTCAGTTTTCTTTGAGCGTATGTATGAATATGCACATTTGTACTTGCGCAGATGAGACTTGACTGTGTGTTCACCAACATGCTTCCAATATAGCTTTCGAGAAGACACGTTTGTTTTTCTTGTTGGAGCGTCACTCCTACAATTCCCTGATATGCCAGGCTGGGGGGTTTCAGAGAAAGATATTGGGGATGTTTTTTTCCCACTTTTAGCTAGATATGAAACACCCATTTTGTTACCCCCTTCCAGATATACTATTGTATTCCCCAAGTATTGGCCTTAACTGACACAACCAATCTTAAAATCAATACAGCAATATCTCATAAAGTTTGTATAGTCTTTACGTGTAGCTTTTATAATCCAATATGTTAGAGAATTTTAATTTCTCTATTGGTGAAAAAATAAATCAGAAGCTCTCACAGTTGACTGCATTTAGCTGATTCAAAATAACTTCTTTATATATATATCAAAATATTTACAATACCATACATTCTTCTTTACAGCAACATAGCTCAATTGAAGACTTCTTACAGAGAGATACAGAGACAAACCTGAGACTGGAAATCCAGCTCCTAACTCAATACTCTTTTGCACAAACTCAGTAGCACTTTCTTCACATTGGCTGACAGAGTTACCACATGACTCTTCCTGCTCATGAATATTCCAACACAATAGGTCCCCCTATAGCCATGGTGGTGAACTTATGGCACACATGCCACAGGCGGCATGCAGAGCCGTCCCTGTGGGCACGTGCGCCATTGCTCCTCTCCACGCATGCGGAGTCCGGGAACAGCTGCAAGAGCTGGGCGGGGTGAGGGAACCTATAATAGGAGCAGTTTTGGCGGGAGAGTGAGTGAGGGGCCTTTGGAAGCAACCAGTGATGGGTTTAAAATCATTTAACAACCAGTTCTCTGCCTCACCTTCCCTCCGTCTTGGTTGGGTTGGGCTGCTCGGGGAGTCTGCTGGGCTGGGGGCAGGAGGGTGGCGGTCATCAGGTCCTGGCTGGGGGAACGTGAGGGTCTGGCTGGGGGGGGGGTGGAGTGCCAGGATGCCTCCACAGAGGAAAGCTGCCCCCCTGCCGGCCGAGCCTCTCATCCACACTGCAGTCACGTAGGATTGCATAGAATGGGCAGCGGCTGGGGGGGCAGCTGGCAGCGGGGAATCAGAGCTGCCATCTCCCTTCCGCAGTGCAGCCCCATAGACATGGGTGGAGACAGCCCCGGGATAGCCGGAAAGGAGCCCTCACCTGGTGTGGGCCCTGTCTACACGGTGGCTCTGAAGGGGATGGCGGTTGCTGCTCCTCCTGCTGCTCTGAGCCCCTTGACTCAGAGCGGCGGCGGTGATCCCTGCATTGCCAAGCCCGGCCAGCTACAGATGTGGAAGCAAAGCTGTGCCGACCAACCTCACGTTGGTGGGGGCAGTGGAAGGGGAAGGTGAGCTGTGGCACACACCCACCCTCTCCGCTGCCGCCCTGTTCTGTCCCAGCCTACGTCCGTCCTTGTTACTTCACAAGAACAAACCCCTCTTAAACAGTAGGCTGGGAAAACCAACTTCTTTTTATTTCCAAAACAGTCCTGATAAGTTTTTCTCCAAAACAAAAAACACAGAATACTTTCCTAACAGATAATTGGTTACAAAAGCAAATAGAGCAGAAGTTTAAACAGGAAATTCACTGATAAAACAAAACAGACCATGATCCTTGGAAGTTCTTTACAAATGGCTGCCTTCAGCAACCAGCACTGCCCACACCTTCCCTTTTTATAAAGCAGTCCCAAGGCGTGGCTTCTCAATGCCTTCTCCTCCCCTGGAGTTGTCGTATTGACTGCTGCTGATCTGCTCTAGCTAATCATCTGTGTCTACGAGCATCAATCATGTCCATAAGCTGTGAATCCTCCAAATCCGACTCTCTCTCCCCACACAGCTGAGCTTCATCCATAACACGAGTGGAGGGGCCAGGCTCTTCATCAGACCATGAGTCTTGTAATTCATCAGAGCCTCCCTCTGACCCTGATGGCCCTCCAAATGCCTCCTCCACCTCCTCCTCAGATTCCCCAGACTCAGCTGTTGGGAACACAGGCTGGCACGGATTCATGACACACCCCACATCGTCCCGCACTCAGAGCCTGGAGGCGCACCGGGACAATGTGGGGCAGCAGCGGCAAAGAGTGGGCGCATGCCAGATCCTGCTTTCCCCCTCGCCCCCACCAGCGCGAGGATGGTCAGCAGAGCTTCGCTTCCGGATCTGCTGCCTGACACTATCAGCTCCTGCACAGAGGCAGCGAGCACATGGGGGCCGATGGTGTGCGTCAGCAGCCACAGTATGCTGGCTGTCCTACATAATAGCAGACTGGCCACAGAGCCTCATCAGCATGGGCGGAAACGGCTCCGGGACAGCCGGAAGGAAGCCCTTGCCTGGCCTGGGCCCATCCACTCGAAGGCTCTGGCGGGGGTGGCTTCTACTGGTGCTCCAACCGGTCAACCATGCAGGGAAGCAGGAGGAGATGGAGGGGCTAGCCGGGGGTCTGGAGCCGCCTTGGCTGCTTGCTAGTAGCCCAACACAGCGGATTCGTGCACCTCCTGCTTTGATGGGGCTCTATGGCCATTCCATTATGCAGGACAGCCAGCATGCTGTGGCTGCTGACACATACCATCGGCCCCCATGCGCTATCTGGCCTCTGTGCAGGGGCCGATAGTGTCAGGCAGCAGCTGCTCCGGCCCCTGCTTCGCCTTGCTTTGTCCTGCAGTAGTTGGCACACCCGCCCTGCCTTGCCTCACCTCACCCCGCAGGACAAGCCTCTGCTTCATCACCCCACCCCCCAGAGACCCCCTGGATCTCCCAATCCTGCCTGGCCCCCACAGGCGTCCCTCCCCACAAGCATCATTGAGGTGGCCACACCCACCCAGTGGGCCACGCCCACCCAGGACCCGGTAATAAATAAATGGGTTTTGGGGTTTGGTTTCGGCATTTGGTCTCTAAAAGGTTCGCCACCATTACCCCATAGCTTTGTATTACTTCCATTTTAATGTTATGTATTTCTGTCCCCCATAAAGAATTAAAATGCCGCTTCCGTTTCTTTGGAAGAGTGAAGCAGCAATCTCCTTCCTTCTCACGTTTAGGTTTTTTTGCTTCTTGGGAATTTGTCTTTTCCAGGAAATTCAGTTGTAAACTAATAAAGAAAGGATCAGTATTCTCACCCAGTTACAAGCACGCTGTTTACGATCTGCTAATTAGTGCTTTCTTTTTTCGGTTATCAGTAGCTTGGACTGGCCACAGAATGTGATTTGGAGGGCTTTCCTCAGATCAAATGGATCTAATTTCATCTCTCTGTGATCAATGAGAGTCCCCTCCTTCTTCATTGCCTCTCCTGGGCCACTTTAGACCCCTTTAGGATCCTTTGGCAGGATGAAACCAGCTGTGGGGGAGCAGAACTCCATTTTCCCTCAGCTGCAGCACCACGACGCAAGCCGGAAGTTTACCCTTTTCTTAATACTGCTCATTAAATGCTGCAGATCTATGTGAAGGCTATTTTTGAATGCTACTTTATCTTTTTACCTTCTTAATTACTATTGATTTCTATTTTAGTTTGCTGTAATATTTTGAATACGTTAAGATACAAGCATTAATAAACTTTTGTGTGTCATGTGTTTTTAGGGAAATCGGTGATTATTGGCATGTGGCTATTCAAGAAGCAATCTTGGAAAAGTGCAGTGATAATGAGGGAATAGTTCACATAGCAGTGGACAAAAATTCACGGGAGGTAAAAAGTGACTTAAGACAGTTAACTCGTATATTTAGTTTCTTTGCTGGATGTCAACCAAACTTTTATTTTTTCTTCTAGGGCTGTGTGTATGTCAAGTGTTTATCTCCAGAATATGCTGGAAAAGCTTTTAAAGCATTGCATGGATCTTGGTTTGATGGTAAGAAGTTCAACAGGAAGCATCAGTAATCGTTTAATAAAAATATTTCAGATGAAAGTGTTTTTATAATGCTTGTAAAATTAATTTTATTCACATTGTATTTTTAAAATGATATTAATGTTTTAAATTATATTTTGCTACAGGCAAGTTGGTAACAGTAAAGTATCTACGATTAGATCGGTATCATCATCGTTTTCCGCAGGCTATTGCTTGCAGTGCTCCTCTGAAGCCATCAAATAAACATATGAACTCAATGTCTCATCTTCGTCTCCGGACAAGCACAGCCAACAACCAAGGAAACTCCTGAGACACTTATTGTACTAGAACTGTTGATTTGCAGCAGGAGGTTTTCCTGTCTGGCCTTGTCTTCCACTTTTACTACTTTTTGTATGTTAACATCTACATTAATCATTTTTCAGTCTCATTTTTTAGAATGTCTGAGTAATGGGTAGTACTGAATTAAAAGAAAATTGGCTATAGAATATTTTAGACCCCAAGCAAATCAACATATTATGTTTTGCATGACAAATGTTGAGTTTATTAAGCATTTTCAGATGTGGCTGAATTTTTGCATCAACAAGTGTATGATAACAGTCCAAAAGCATGGAGATGTATTGTATTTCCATAATTTCCTGTGAAATAATCTTGTGGGTATTTTATAACAAAAGCCACCTACAATTTCTGATGGAAGATGAATAGATGTGTTAATTTCTGTCCAGGAATTAGTTTTTGTTGCTGCAAAGTTTTATTTGTGTCAGTCTGGAGACGGGAAAAATGCTGGCTTTAGTAGTTTTGGAGCAGAAAACAACTGAATGCAGATGTGCTGGTTTTGTATATAAATATTGGTGGTGGCAGCACCAGCAAGTAACTTGTAAAGATGTCTGCTTCAAAGCAGTGAATAAGCTCCCTATTTTATTCATAACCAATGTTTTATTTAATTTGGCTGTATTATTATCCAAGGGCCAAATACCTTGAAGTATTAGATACAAGTTAAATATCTTTTGTAGGTTTTATATTAAAATATATGGTTATGATTTTTGAATGGTCTAATATTGTTACTGTGATAATGGATTCAAAATCATGTGAGCAATAAGTAATTGGCAGGTACTCACTTTGTGAAAAGTTATTTACTACAAAAGAAAATTTCTTACAATATAATAATGGGGAGTATTTCTCAATTAAAATTTGCTGCCTAAATGTGCCCAAATAAAAAAAAATGCACATAAATTCTTGTTAGAAATGCAGTACATAAAGATTTTTATATGTTCTATATTAAATGTAAGCATTGTTTACACCTTTAAAATTATACAAAAATATGAAACATTTTGAAACATAACCTGAAAATATAAAATAATTTGATATAGTAATTCCTGTTGAAGCAACATAATGTGTTGATCCAGTTGAATATCATATAGGTGAAGGGATGGAAAACCATTTAAAAAAAAAAAACAAAAAAAACCCATAGTCCAGTTTTTATTGTAGATATGACCCTGCAGCATGAACTTGCACAAATAATGCACGTTTTCTTATGGCTAAATCAACATGACACACATTTGTGTAATGAAAAATCCTATTGTGCCTTATCCTTGTGCTTTTTTTGTGGGCAACATATTTAATAATGGACTGTTTCTTATCTAGAAAAAAAGGTTGTTTTTTGTCTAGGATGCTAACAAATATATGTAATATAATCGGCCACACAAAGTTCTGCTCTCAAAGAACAAGTACATATTTTTGACATGAGAGTAGATTTTGACAGGCCTGTTAGATTTTTCATGAACTTACTATATACATATACAAATATGTATAATATACATGTATATGTATTTATGTGTATATAATCAGGTTTTGCTGTATTTGTGCATCATAGTGATTTATTGTTCTGATCTTAGTAATCATTTTGTGACCTATTGCAAGTGTGAATGTAAAATTAAATTGTGGTAGTTTAAAATGTTGCCTTTTGATGCAGATGCATCTTTCTTCTTCTAAACAATGTTTAAACTCTGTACATTGATTATAGTAAACTGTACCATTATGTAGCCTATTTTACCATTAAAATGTTGACCAGTTTTTGTCCCTGCAAGTCAGGTGGGAATGTGTATCATACCATGGACACTTCGGAAAGTCAAATGTTTGTAATTTGTCCTGTAAAAACATAAAAGCAAAACAAAACCAATTAAAGATTTATTAGGGCTTTTTACAACCGTGTCAGTTCTTTGGATCTTTTAACATCTAAGGACGATAATAGTTAAAATAAATTTCTTCAACTTTTGCACTGGTTGGATGATTGTTACACACAAAATGACAACTACATTTTATGTGTATTTTAAGTGTGAACATCTACTCTATTATTATATCTTCTAATTACTAATAGCCAATTCTGAAAAGTAGAATAATGTGAGAGAATCTCAAGTTGATACCTTTAAGATCACATTGCTATAACTTATTCTTCATTCGCAGAAATTAATTTTTACATCTAAAATATGTTTACAAGATGTTTAGAAGATTTCTATTCATGCTAATTTTGGAATTCCTTATGTGAAATATTCAATAGATTTTTTTCTAGATTTCAAGCATTCCTAGATTTCCATCCTAATATTAATGGAGGATGTGGATAAATAAGTTGAAAGGTTGATGTGGAATGACTTCTTGCATACAAGTCCAATCGGATTTATAAAAGTTAATAGATTGAATTGGATGATGGAACTTAAAATTATGTATTATATAATTACAAGAGGTCACTTTAAAAACAACCATAGTAACAACCTTTCAAACTGGTTTCAAATCTGATTTTGGTTTTGAAAGATCCTTCATAGATTTGTTATAATGAGAATTGAATAGGTGGCTCTGGAGGCCTATGCTGTAATCATAGCATGGTTGCACTGAATGTTGTGGGACTTCTAGGATTAAGTTAGATTGTTAGGGATTGAGAGTCTCTTTTTCATTAATTGCCAAACAAAATTCCAATTCTTGAATCATTTCCTGGACATATTTTCCATTTGTTTCAAGTTGATTACTCATATTTGATAATCAACCTAACAAGCCTTAAATTGGGTGTCAAACTGCCGGCCTGCAGCCCGGATGCCTCACGCAGAAGCCGCGCCCACCCCATTGCCGGCAATGGCAACGTCGCGAGTTTGACATGTCTGCCTTAAATGGTTTGGAACTAGAATATCAGAAGGACTATTTCTTCCATGTGAATCTATTATGGGAGACCCATAGCCATCTAGAGTGATTGTATCCAAGTGGTGTTGCTGTTTTATAAGGTTTTATCTTGAAAACTTACTGATAGAGCTCCAATGAAAATTGGCTTTATTTTGCTTTTTTATGATGGCATTTAATTTACCTTGATCATGTCAAAAAAAGCTAAACCTTGGAAGGATAGCAATTTGAGTGACAAGTTAGTAGGAAATCCCAGAGCTGAGGGCTAGACTGGGACATTGGAAAAAAAATACCAGAAGAATGCAATGACAAAGCATTTGGATATTGTGAAAAAAAAACAGGAATTGAAACTTTTAACTTTGTTTTAAACTAGGGATATATGAGTGTGGGGTGGATTGCAGTTAACCTGTGATACGTTGGGAAATAAGAGTGTAGGATCAAGAGAAAAACACTGGTTTAATGTAAAATTAATTAAAATTAAATATTTAAATATGCAGAAACTTCTGCTTTTAAAAGAAACAGGTGTTTATGTTTTTGTCCTAAAATCTTACATGATAACCACAAACCAGCCAACCATGTTATGATTCATCACTGCTAGAAACCCCGGTCATGAATAAATTATGGTTAAGTGTAGCCATAGTCTAGTCAGAGTAGATTAGGATGTGATTACAGGTAGTCCTGGACTAAATACCACAATTGAGTTGAAAATGCATGTTGTTAAAGTGAGACATTTGTTAAGTGAATTTTGCCCCATTTTACCACCTTTCTTGCAACCTTAAGTGAATCACTGGAGTTGATTAGTTATAACATGGTTATTAAGTGCATCTAGCTTTCTCATTGACTGGTCAGGTCACATAAGGTGATCATATGACCTTGGGACACAGCAATGGTCATAAATATGAACCAGTTGCCAAGCATCCGAATTTTGATCACATGATCATAGGGATGCTACAAAGGTCATAACTGAAATGGTAATGTCACATTTTCCAGTGCCATTGTAATTTTGAACTTTCACTAAAGGAACTGTTGTTAAGTCGAGCACTACCTGTATCACACCACTGAATTGGCAACAGATCTCTGAATTAAATGGACTTTGGTCAAATATTGGCAAAGTATCAGGAATTCGTGTGTTACATTTAGATGGAATCATACTTGGACCTAACATTAGGTGGGGGGAGAATTGATTCTACTAAAGTTCTCTATAAATTTACATACGGGTTCTATGGGTTCTAAATTGCGGCAACTGAAAACAAACCGAAAGCCGGAAGTAAAGTTTTGCTGACCGACATGGATTTGTAAAGCCCTGGAAACACGTGCAACCCCCCCCCCCTTCGCACCGTTGCAGTCTCTTTCGGCTCTATGCTCATATTTGGAGCTGACTGAGCAGCTGCTGTCCAAGGAATTTCCCGTCATGCCTTTTGGAGAGGCTGCCTGTGCTGTCCTTTTGCTGGACCGTGGGGGTGGAAGGTGCCTTTGACCCGAAGCGGCTGAGGAAACAGTAGCTATCTTTTTTCCTGCCAAAGCTCTGTTGCTTTATTTTTCTGCCTCGCCTCTCCATGCGCGCCGAGCTTCCCTTGCTCCTGAATTTATTCTGCTTGGCGGCGGCGGCGGTGGCTTTTACGTAGATACCAGGTAAGGTAGCCGTAGTCCTTCGCAAAGGCAACGTTACCTTCCTGTGTACTCGGATTTCTAGATTGTTCGATCCGGCCTGCGGCGAATTAAAATTAAAGGGCGGTGGCTTGGTGGAAGCGCTTTGTGGCGAGGATGAGCAAGGAAAAGAAAAGGTGGAGGAGTCCTTCTACTGCCGTGAGAGATGTATTCCGTCCAGCAGCTGTCCAAATAATCTGCTTCCGAGAACCCTGTCAATATCCACAGGACATATTTCTGATTAGACAAACATAGGATTGAGATGGTACAAGCCTCCAATCTGTATTTTGGATGTATGTAATCAAACCCCGGAGTACCTGTATTGCATGTAAAGAGAATTAGGCTGAATCTGTATGGATGGTGGCTGCAGCTAAATTCAGGTATTATATGATGGTGTTCAATATGTAACCAATGTAGAAATCTTGACTGCTTTTTATATTCGGCTTGGGAATGGGGGGCGTTTCTTAAGATTTTTTTTCTAAATTAGTTTGCTTTGGGAAGCCAGCCACCTTTTTTTTTTTTTTAAATCAATTTCTTCTGGATGGGGTTGGAGATGTTGCATCACTTTTAAAGCAAATAATCTCCTTGAAGGTCCATATAAAGTATTAGCATTTGACACACAGAAATAAGGTCACTGACAGTTTGCCAGATTTGAGGGTGTGATGAGGGTATGTTCCAACTAGCCATGCAATGTTGGAATGCTAGATATAAATCATGCTATTTTTTTCAGAAACTTTTGCTGCAAAAAGTTTGTTACTAATTCAGCAACTTTTGCTTGTCTGTAGGGAAGAGATTAAAGTAACTGTCTAGAGTTCACAATGAATGCTAGAGTTCTGAGTTGATGCAAGTTAACAAAGGGGATTTCTGTGTAACAGAATCAACTTTTAATATAATCTAAATATGTTTAAGGTAGTTGGACCACCTTAAATAGTGCTTTCCAGTTCTCATACTAACTATCTGTTTTCTTCTGATGCCTTAGGTTCACCAGAGATAATAGTTTATAATTAGCTGATTATTTATAGCCATGTTTTTGCTGGTTAAACCACAATTGACTGAGTTTGTGCCATACAAATAAACCATAATTTACAAACAGTAATAGATTCATTTAATGTGGTACGGTGAAACCAAACAAGCCACATGATGTCTTATTACAGGGTTAGCCACAAGTTTTGGGCCAGGATCTTATTTGAATTTTTATAAATATTCAAATAACCATAGAAAGTATGTTCTCCATATGAATATCATGGTAGGCACAATCAATTTCAGAGCAGTTGATTTCTAGAATTCCATTTTTTTCTCAGGCTGTTCTGTTTAGTGTCAATGGATCTTTGCAAGGACAACATGCATTCCTGCAGCATGACAACTTTCTATTTTTTAGTTAATATTTTAGTTAAAAATAGTTAAAGTATTTTTTTTAAGAAATCAAGGTTGGAGAAGAAGAGAGCCAAGTGATTATAAAGGCAGCTTTCTGAATGCACATTAATATCTATGATCAACATGTTGTTTATCTTTTGATTTAATACTCCTATGCAAACTGAGTTATTTTGCTTTTGAAAAATGTTTTCTATAATTATGTCATGCTGCCTCAAATGTATTTGGGAGAAAGTAGTTCCAAAATTACTCTTTGATGCTTGATAGTTTAAGCAAAACATTGTTCTCATGTTATTTTAAAAATCTAATTATCTTTTATTGAATTATATTTCAATATAAATATAAATGTATCAGAAGGCTTTTGATAATTGGATAATTTATTATTAAATTTATATGCCACCAATCTCACTATCGAGCAATTCTGGGCAGCTTACAGTAGCACAAATCCATTAAATTTTGAAAAATTGGGGAAATAATATATTCCTCAAACAGAGATTTTTTGCTATAATTAAGAGAATACTAGATTTTTTTATATAAGTTCTTCAAACACCATATTCATTGTTAACTTCTTAAAGATATGTTGTTTTCCTGGATCTGAAGGAAAAGATTATGTTTTTTGCTCTAAACTGACAAACCAATGCAAAGCTATTTATTTTTCCTGTTTGGAGGTGAAGGTCAGAGTTATAAATGCAAAGTTTTATGGCAGGCAACAATTAATATGAAATAAATTAACCAGTCTGCTTTCTACTACTGGTTTCTCAAAACTGTTAAAACTAACATCTGTTTACATTTGAATAAAGTTCTTATTTATTTATTTAAAATAAAAAGTTATTTTAGTTTTTGCTATATTTCAAATCTTGTAGTTTTTTGCCTGTATGTCTTCTGCCAGGCAGAAAACTAACCACTTTTTAAATTATTTTAGTTAAATTGAGGCTGTAACAGTTGCTGTTGGACAGACAGTTGGTTCATGCAGTGAGTGTAAAAAAGCAGATAGTAAAACAGTAGAAAACAACTTGCTTGGCAAGGATGTCTCCCCCCATTGTGCCATCTATGTGGAAAGCTGTGAGCTTTCCAAACTACTAGTTTGCACTGTCTAAAAATATTCAGTTGGACATTTGCTTTGGTGTTCAGAGCAATGAAAGAGCTATTCCTATGATCTGACTTGTTTATCAGCATCCAGCTCCTAAATGTCTCTACTCCTCTTTCTCCTCTTTTGGGAAGAGAAAATCTATACTATAGCATCCATCATCAGCAACAGAAGTTTGTTGTTAATGCCTGAGATCCCAATTTAGCGCTTTAGAATTGTAATTATAAATTGTTCTGTGATTCCATTTTAGATAAAAGATATAAATAAGATACTGTCTTGCGTGGTACACTATGCTTGTGTACACAGGTATTTACATCAGGCCACCACTTGATATTATTGAATCTGCCAATCTTGGATCCTGCTTGAAAACAGGATGTAGTATGAAAAAGTAGCCCTTCTCAATAATAGTCCCCACTTTATGGAATGCTCTACCTCCAGAAGTACATGTAAGCCCCTCTTGCTACAGTTCCATAAACAAGTTGAAACTTTTGGACTGCAGGTGCCTATCTGGGGGGTTTCTCTTTGCTTTTTCTATGGTTACTTTTGAGTTTTGACTCAAATTTATAAATGATTTATTTATAGTTACCATATTTTTGGTTTTCTTGACGAAGTCCTTTGCAATTGACACAATTGTATGGTAAGAATAAATAACTGCTGCACATGGTTTGGTATATAGTTAATATTTATTTATTTATTTATTTATTTATTTATTTATTTATTTATGAGACTTATATACCGCTTTAAGTGCAAGCACTCTCTAAGCGGTGTACACCAGTAAGCAATGTATATATATATATTTACATTGCCCCCAACAATCTGGGTCCTCATTTTACCTACCTCGGAAGGATGGAAGGCTGCGTCAACCTTGAGCCGGTGAGATTTGAACCGCTGACCTGCTGAACACAGTCAGCTAAAGTGGCCTGCAGTACTGCACTCTAACTGCACTTCTAAATCTCTGATTTAGAATAGGTTTAATGCAGGAGATACCAATGATATCAAGTATCCAATAAGGTGCTTAAAATAATACATTTGACACTGTCACCATATTGGGCCTTTAGAATAAGGTTTAATGCAAGAGATGCCAAAGAAGTTAATTCAGAGGTTTTTTTAAATCATCTGGCTGCCTATGAGCTTTTTGCCTTTACTACCCTTTGTACAAGGAAGAAAAGTATTTTATTTGCCATATGAAATAAAAGTGATAAGTTATAACTAAATCATTTTGTCAGTTTTTAAAGCACTGCTTGATCTTCTAGTGTTTATTATTCTTAGGTTATAGTTATCCTGACACACAGTATCAATTCTCATTCTAGCTGCTGGTTGAAATAAGGCTTTCTGTAACTGTGCCAAGAATAGGCCGTATGTCAGCTCTTACCCTTTGATGGAATGAGTGAATTTTGAAAGGGAATGCAGGATGAAACACACAAGACAGTTTTAAAAGTTTCAAACAAAAGTTTTACAATTAAATTTTCTTGCAGAATGAATTTTTAGAAGGTCCCATCACTCAGGTTAAAAATACTTAGTGATTAGAAAAAGTAGTTCTATTTGACTCAGTGAACATGAATGATTTTTCTTGCAAATATCTAGGAGGAAATCTGTGTTAGTCAATGTGGCAGAATATCAGATCTGGTGTATATTTTCAGATTTAATAATTTTTTCTAAAAGACATAAGCTCTAATGAGGGAATGTTATTTTGTAGACTGCAATTTATGCATTTGATATGCAGTTATGCAGTTCATGAAAGTTTATACTTTTAACAAAATTTCTTAGTTGGAAAAGGTGCAACCAGATTTCTGATTTTTTTTCTTGCAGTAATACCTAGTAGTAGTTGCATGTAACATTGTAGCACAGAGCAACTAATCTATTTTAAAACTAGGTGTGGGATTATTTTTAGGTGGGGAAGGATTTAAAACATTATCATCCACGTACAATTTGAAGTGGTATTACCTCATTAAAATGTTCAGTTATCTTTCATCACAGGATGTATTCTATTTTTGAAACATTTAATTTTTTTTTCCATGGGCAAGTCAATCAACACTTTATTTTTTTGTTTTGCATTAACTTGCAAAAGCTGTTTTATTTAGCTTTAGCAACACAAACTTGCTATTTGCACTTTTTTGCCTGCTAATCACTAGGAGGTGATCTGTTTCTGGTTTAATGAAGAGAACAGCTTTAGTCCTATATTGCTAAGTAAAAGTGTCCTAGAAACTCCTTCTGGGGCACCCAGCTTTTTAGAGGTAGAATTCATCCTTGTTCTTTTCCTGACCTGAAGAGTGATATCACTGCCTTTTTCCCTGTTGCACTGTAGTTGCTTGAGTCACAGGCTTTGACACAAGCCAAATGGCTGCAATTGGTAGGCGTGCAGGCTGCCTGGTGCTACAGTTGATGAAACAGAATAGGAAGACCTTTTATGATCAGCTGCTGGAGCCCAGTAAGACTACAGCTTTGCTAGGTAATTTCATTTTCACTGCACACTTCTCTTTCTCAAAGTGAAAATACATTTTTATTTGCTTACTTGGAATGCGTAGACCTTTTTTATTAGCTGATTTTCTTCTCCAAGAGAATGGTCTGTGTGCATGATTAGGAAACAAAAAATCATTGTGCAAGTTGTTCATGCAAATGACATGTTTATTTAATCCTTTTTTTCAGGCTATTGGTTGTAATGTTTATCTTTTCTTGCTCATTATTATCTGTACTTCTGCTTCTATAAACATTTGGCTCTTGTCCTTTGAAGTAATTTAATCCAAGTAATATTTTATTCAGATACACTCTAAAGAAAATTAGTAATTCAAGATATAATGAAGAAATTATCGCATGAAAGAAATTGAGGGATGGGGATAGCACTCCATGTACCCATCCAATATAGAGATTTGGACCTAAGGTTGTATAACAAGAAGGCCATTTATGCAATAGATTTTTGCTATTTCTTCCCCAGAAATCTTGCCCAGAAGTTTTTGAGTAAACTTCCCAAACAGCTTGTGGAGAGCATAGGCTTCTGTACTATAGTCAATATATTGATTTCTGGGAAATTTTTAAAAAGTCAAATCAGAGAGCAACAAAATAAGGAAATAAAATAATGCTTTAATTATTCCTTGGCAGCAAAAAAGATTCCAGCAGCTTGAGCCAGTCTGTTCACAGCCAGTCATAGACAGTTGCCAACAGAAAACAAACTGGTTGGGCTGGCCCAAATCAAATCAAATCAAATCAACCTTTATTGTCAAAGTACAACATGTGTACAAGACGTGCTTTCAAAATGTATGGGCACACACAGTGATGTTGCTATGAATACTCCACCTTTGATCAATATCATATTGCAGACACGGGTTTCTGCTATGATGTCATGCCAGGTATAGCTTTGTTGCTGACCCCTCTGGGCAGATGATCTACAGTTGGAATGTGATCTCATTTGCTACTGTTGGCATTTATTGATACCATTCTATTGGGTTTTTTTTAAAAATAGTCTAAGGCTGATTATTGCATAGCAAGTTCAAGCTGAAGATACTCAGCTCAAAGAACAGTGCAAATGCAAGGTAAAAAAAAGTTAGCTGCTTAGCTGGTACAAGGCAGCTGCTGATCCCTTATCGACCACAGCTTGATAATGGATGATTTTGGAATATCTGTTAATGCACAGAAGGAAAAGAGTAAGAAAAGTAAGAATATAATAAGGAAACAAAGTAAACACATAGACACCTGACTTCATAACAAGCATAAACAATTTTAGTATCTCTTCACCCCTCATAGTTTTAAGTCAATGAAAGTCCATTGAGGTTTACCAGAAATAACTTATCTTAACCTTGATCAGATAAACCAATTTTATATTCCTTGCTTTTAGTTCCAACAGTCTTACTCTTGAACTTATTTAAACAATATTGTAGAATTTGATTTCATTTTTTCTTTGTCCCTTCTTACAAGATTCCTCAAAACTTTAACAAGCTTCTTTTATAAATCCAGACTAAAAAACATTCAGCTCACTCTTGATATATTATTGGTTTATAACAGCTTTCCTGTTTACAGCCTACAAATCACATTTCTGTACTGATCTGGCTTGGCCAATTATCTAATAGAAAATAAGCAAGAGAAATAGGTAGCACTTTCAAATAAGAATTATCAGTTTTTGATATAAATATATTTGAAACTTTGTAGTGCATTCTATTATGAACAAACATAAAATAGATGGCTGCAGCACAAGAAATTGTGTATGATTCTTATACAATGTACTTGTCCACTAGATGTTTCTGATGGGTTTTCATCTTTGTTACCTTTATTATTATAAATTGTTTTTAAAAATATGTTAACTCAGCAAGTGATCATTATATATAACAGTTTTAATATGGGGCCTTCATATAACTTTTGTTAGGCTGATTTTATCCATTCTTCTGAGGAGTTCAGTCCAGTGCACATGGGTTTCTTTTTTCATGTATAAAGAAAGCTCTTGCTGCATGCACAGTTGAAGAAAGTATTATTAAAAAATGGAACTACTTTAAGGTACTAATTGTTTGTGTAATAGTAAGTTCCCTATTTTGAAAACTTTTAAAACTTAGATACAAACTAGCTATAAATAATAAATGAACAAAATACCATGTTTATTTCTGAACATTTTATGCCATCATTTTCAAATCATTTTCTTAAAATTGTGTATATATGTTTGTAAATTGCTTTATTTCTTGGGAATAATTGCTAGATTGTTGTGCAAGAAATGAGAGGAACTCATTTAATATATGTGTATTTGTATTAAGCTTGTATGTTTCCTTTCAGAAAAAAATCATAACCATCATTTTTGCTATGAATCTATCTAACTTGTTGAAGTTTTAATTTTATTTTCATCTTTTTTCCCCTTACTCAGCTCTTGCCCCTGTTCTTTGCCTCTGGTTGTGTTGGTGACGATATTACAGTGATGTCTGCATTCAACCTACTGCATTTGGTGACAAAGAGCCAGCCAGTGGCCCTGCAAGCCTGTGGGCTTCCCTCAGGTTGACTGGGTGCTACTTGTGGTTATGCATATGGAGGTTCTTTCTACTAGAGTAGGCATCTCTGCTACAGGAAATAATAGGCTGTGGTTTGCTAAGGAATCAGCTTTTTAAAGACAACTGAAAGTCTTTCAAACTATATTGTACATCACAGCTTTTTTAAAACAATAATTGGTAACAAGGGTTAGCATTTTAGCTTCTATATAGAGTTTGATAGTATTCTTTAGTTCATAAACAAATAGGCACTTTGCTTTTTTAAAATATAACAGTAGCCTTAAATAGTCTAGCATTATATTTTTATCAAGAGTTACTACAATCATGTTTGCTCTCAGGAAATGTTCAGTGCCATTTTAAAAAGAATAATAAATCAATTGAAAGCAAACTTTATACTATCTATCTATCTATCTATCAGACCTATCAGCCTGACCTCAATACCTGGGAAGATCCTGGAAAAGATAATCAAACAACGAATCAACGAACACCTAGAGGCAAACAAAGTCATTACTAAAAGCCAACATGGGTTTGTCAAAAATAGATCATGCCAGACAAATCTTATTGCATTCTTTGACCAAGTGACAAAAGTAGTGGATCAGAGGAATGCTGTGGACATAATTTACTTGGACTTCAGTAAGGCATTTGATAAAGTAGATCACAACCTACTACTTGACAAGATAGAAAAATGTGGGGTAGACAGAACCACCACCAGATGGATCCGTAGCTGGCTGACCGGCCGTACTCAGCGAGTGGTCCTCAATGGAACTGCATCTATATGTAGGGAAGTGTGTAGTGGGGTGCCCCAGGGCTCTGTTCTGGGCCCAGTACTCTTCAACATCTTCATCAACGATTTGGATGAAGGGATAGATGGGGAACTCATCAAATTTGCAGATGACACCAAGCTGGCAGGAATAGCCAACACTCCAGAAGACAGGCTTCAGGTACAGAAGGATCTGGACAGACTTGAACACTGGGCACTAAATAACAAAATGAAATTCAATGGTGAAAAAAGCAAGGTTCTACATTTAGGCAAGAAAAACCAAATGCACAAGTACAGCATAGGTGGCACCATGCTCAATAGTAGTAACTGTGAGAGGGACCTCGGAGTCCTAGTAGACAATCACTTAAATATGAGCCAGCAGTGTGCTGCAGCTGCCAAAAAGGCCAACACATTGCTAGGCTGCATTAACAGAGGGATAGAATCAAGATCACGTGAAGTATTAATGCCACTCTACAATGCCTTGGTAAGGCCACACTTGGAATACTGCATCCAGTTTTGGTCACCACGATGTAAAAAAGATGTTGAGACTCTAGAAAGAGTACAGAGAAGAGCAACAAAGATGATTAGGGGACTGGAGGCTAAAACATATAAGGAACGGTTGCTAGAATTGGTATGTCTAGTTTAACGAAGAGAAGGACAAGGGGGGACATGATAGCAGTATTCCAATATCTCAGGGTCTGCCATAAAGAAGATGGAATTAAGCTATTTTCCAAAGCACCTGAAGGCAGGACAAGAAGCAACGGGTGGAAACTAATCAAGGAGAGAAGCAACCTAGAACTAAGGCGAAACTTCCTGACAGTGAGAACAATTAATCAGTGGAACAGCCTGCCTCCAGAAGCAGTAAATGCTCCAACACTGGAAGTTTTTAAGAAGAGACTGGACAGCCATTTGTCCGAAATGGTGTAGGGTTTCCTGCCCGAGCAGGGGGTTGGACTAGATGACCTCCAAGGTCCCTTCCAACTTTACTATTATTATTATTATTATACTTGAAAATTTTCTTGTAAAATTATGTTCTAGCCCACTATTTTGCTCTATTTCTTCAGTTTTTGGTCATAACTTTATCTTTGTATTTGTTAGTTCTGCAAATCAAGCATAAACCTCCTTGAAATGCACAAGATAAGGATAAATAATAGTGCTGTTCAACACATTCATAAAAGGTAATCCACACAGCACATTGATGCATGTGAAGAATCACTCTTCAAAATGTTGGTGCAGCCTTATTCTCTGGAAGGACTGTCATGGTTTTGGAAGCTTCCCCTCAATTTGCATGTCTGTGAACATATATAGGCAACATTTCCACTTGGGCTACCAGTGAAGTAGCTAATAACACTTTTCTACCATGGTATCGTGTTGGATGTTCCAGATAAAAGTATGGATGTAAGAGCTCATTAATGGTAGAAGGAGAACAAGCAGTGGCCAAGCACATTTCATAGCAGCTTTCTCAGTAGAGAAAGTTCTCTTCCGTTTTATTTATTGATCAAATCTTTATACTGCCCATCTTCCCTTCAAGGCGACTCTGGGTTGCTTATAAGTTATAAACCAAGTAAAAATAATTAAAATATTAAAACATTAAAATCTACAAAGATTAAAATATTATTAAAACTGCTAAAACTGAAACTGTGAGAGTAAGAGACGATCGGGATAGGGAATGACGTCTTTTTATCCCATCAGTCACCTTCAGTAGTGAACACTCCCTCAGGGCCCCAGGCCAACCGGCAAAGTCAGGTGTTAATACTCTTACAGAATGCCAAAAGAGAAGGGGCAATTCTCACCTATTGAGATAGAATGTTCGACAATGATTGGGCCAAAGCGAAAAGGCTCTTCTGCTTGAACCTGCTTGCTTCAATTCCTTAGCAGACAGGATCCATAGCAGACCTCGTCTACTGCCACAAGTGGAATGGACTTGTCCCATTGGGGAAAGATGGCTTCTCAGATACCCTGCATCTGTTCTTTATGATATAAATAGTTATAAAGACAGATTATTCTGAGAGATTGGAACTGATAAATGACATGGCCAAGAAATTGGCTTAGATAAGCACAATATATATTATTCATATATTTACAGTTTTTGAACTAAGAAATTAAGAGTACATTTAACCATTTCATTTTAAATACTATGTATACATATATATACTTTTAGGTAGCTTTAGAATTATTCATGTAATACAGTATATCTTTTTTTTTTAAAAAAAAAAAAGATAACCCCTTCATATAAATAAATACATTTATTTTGTCCCAGGTTCACCGTAATCTACACATTTTGTTTTCTTCCAAATGTTATTTAAAGTGCAAACTATTTTTATGTCATGCACCTATTTTTTAAAAAATCTTAAATTTTTAATTGCTGAAATTTGAACATATATTTTACTAATGAGGTAGAGAAATTTCAGTTTAAAAGACCAATAGTTCTCAAATTCCAGTAGAGGGCACTAATTAGGTATTCTTTTTCATATTACCGAAATACTGTTCTGTAATACCCAAATCTTAAGTCTAAAGATTTAAGTCTGAATGCATTTTTTTGTATTTTAGCTAGAATATATTTAATTTAGTAGTTTTAAAGATCTTGAAAAACAGCAAATTAATAAGTAGCATTACTATTGTAGTGCTGTGCCTTTAAAATAATTTTTAACAATTCTAGTAAATTATTGTTTTGAGTTCCAGTGTTTGTTAACTTTGTAATTTGGAAGGTAAAAATCAAACATTTCTTTCTGTGATTTTGTCTTCCAGTAAACCTTTACAAATTTTGAATTTATGCATAAACCTACAAACATTTTCTGTAGCAGAGTGCCACATGTATAGGGGAGAAAAACTTAACTTTGCTTTGCTGTGAGTTTGTATTGTATGAGCTGATTCATCTCTAAAACTATACCTTTTCCCCCTTTTAACACTGTTCTTTGCTTTCATCACTTTTTGCATGCAGTAGAATGCTTTCTTTATCTGCTCTTTAAAACCTGTAAAAAGTAATTACATAATTTTAATTAAATTAATGCTGAATATGTTTTGAAAGACACAAGTGCTTTCTAACTCCAAAGTAATTGATTTCTAAATAAATATTTAGATACAGTGTTGTGTATTTAATTGGCGGAATATTTATGTGCTGTTTGTAAAACAATGTTCACAGTTAGAATTGCAGTACATCTATAGGAAGGTACTGGGCATATCACGTTAATTGTTTGATATTGTATATGTATTTAATATTAAATTTTGTATCTATGCAACTTAATTATATTTCATCTATACAGTGTCCTTATCTATGGCTTTAAAATATGCTATTATTTATTTTTAAATTATTAATTGCATTTATGTCCATCTTTTATTAATATACCTCATGACATTTACAACAATATTATACTGAACACTAATAAAACAAAAATAACTGGAATATTATCTCCCCCCCCCTTCCGCCTGGATTGGCCTTCTGGAAGGCCCTCAAAACATCAGACTTGGGGACTCCAAGGAAGCCCATTAAATGGTTACAGTATATTGTATATAGTTAGAGTGCATTCTCCTCTGTCTTTTTATTGTTGTGTTTTAAATGAAGGGTTTAATTTTTAATTGTTTTAATAGTAGAAAACTATGGTTTTATTATACCACCCTAGAGTTCCATGCAAGTGAGATGGCAGCCATATAAATATAATAAAATAAATAAATTAACAGAAACAAAAAAAGATGAAAAACCAGACTTTTTACCATACTTACAGAACCCATTATCCCTTCTTGAATAAACCCATCTTTATATGCTGAAATGTCAGTAGTGATACAGATAATAACTAAAATACATTTTAGTGGATTTACCAGAGAATTATGACATGGTTAATATTAACACTAACTCCATATTATGTTAGGATATTTCAAATTTTTATTCATTTATCAACAGAACCTTCTGTTATGTGCTCCTGGCTACTTTCCTTCGTGACCAGAGGCAAGCTCGCCCGACCAATAACCAGCCAAGACACAGTGAAGGGCTTTTGTTTCGTTTATTGCAATAAGCGGGGAGAGAAGCTATCAAAGCTTGGTTCTCTCCAAAGTTTTAACCCAAAATATCTCCTTCTTTTATTCATCCCTATCACCGGCCGCTACAGCCCTCCTCTTTCCCCATTGGCTGAGGTTACACTCTTTCCGTCCGCCTATACACATTTCCTGATAACATACTAAATCATATTCACTTATACAATAAGAATAAGAAAAATTAGACATGTAAATGGTTATTTTAAACTTAGTATATATT